AACATGTACGCTTCTTTGTCTTCATTTGCAATGAGAACCCGGTGGTTCTCAAGGTAAGGGACGGCCACCCACCAGGTGGTGCAGAGGTATCTCAGCAGCACATCAGCAGCAGCCAAAAAACAATTGCAATTTTCTTTTAATTTATTCTATAACAAGAGGGAAATTTCACAAATTCATAATTTCATTTTCATTTTCGTTTGGGGGTGGGCTCCATGGTGGTCTTACTGAAGCTATTCTGTGTGATTTAAACCCGGGCTTTGTGCAGGCCGGTCAATATCATTATCTTTGGTCCCTATTTAATTAAACTGGGCCTTGTACTATATGTAAAGGTACTTTGTTGTTTGACATTCAGGGTACAGGTTGAAGTGTGGTTGTGTCATTATAGTTACATTGTTCCATCATTGATTACATGATGATCATGGGGCTTAATGGAATTATGGTGTAAAATGTTTCATTCAAATCAATATAAGAAATATATATTTAAATTAAATAAATAATGTCAAATCAATGTCATGACCTTTCCATGACCACAAGAGGTCACAAAGTTCCCAAATTGCAAACCTCCAGCATAATCATAATTCTCAGTTAGTGCTTCTGTCCACAAAAACAGGTAAAGGTCAGGACTGTGACCTTGGTGGATTTTGTTTAAAAATCATTTTTGAAGAAATCTATGTTTTCCTGCATGGGCTCCTGGATGAAGCTGCTCGGTTTGAGAATTCTGTAATAAATATTCCCTTGTTTTGTTGAAAAGCACTCGGGAAAGACTTTAAAAATAATTTATTTTACTTTGGGGGCTCATAAGTTTGCTCCTTGTCTGTATGTGTCTGAGGGTCCACGGGAGAGAGGCTTATATCCTGAGCTGCAGCCCCCACTCCCGTCCTCCAGGGATGTCATTACTACCCCTACCTGCCTCACTCCTCATCTTCCTCTATCACAACCATCAGACCAACTCTTACTTCTGCCCTCCATCAAACCCAGACTGTCAAATGAATGTGCCCACTCACGGGAATGCGTGCACGGAAAACTACACACACACACACACACACACACACACTTTACATACAATGCATTTTCTGGTGGGTGGTAGAGTAAGACAGACGAGAGATTGTTCTTTGAGGAATCCACTATTTTTAACTCACAGTCGGTCTGAACGGACAGCCCTCATATAAAGCAGACTCCGAATGTATTGCAATCAATAATTAAATACAATTGGTAATTGTATTGAGAAAAAAATATAAAGTATGAAAACTTGAAAAAGTGAGAGATAATAACTGCAGAAAATGTTGGATAAAATCCTTGATAAGATTTAAACAAAAAATTTAAAAAAAATCGAGATTTAAAAAAAAGCATTTTTTAAAATTGTATTTTATGGCAGCCAGTTCATCGACAGGCTGGGAGTTAAAGCCAGACTACCCCCTAGTGGTGAGAGTGACAACAGCAACAATAAAAAGGACTTTCTTTGGAAAAAAAAACAACCCTCCAAAAAACAAACAAAAAAGAAAAAACGAAAGATAAAAAGGACTTTCTTTGGAAAAAAAATAACCCCTCCAAAAAACAAACAAAAACATAACGTCAGCCAAAGCACACAAAGGTGACAAAAACGACAGAAAGGCTCAGAAGTCATGTACGTTTTTCTGAAGAAAGTCGTGATGTTTATCTCACAATCTCAGCAGAGCGAAGACAAGTAGATAATTAATAGATCTGCATAGGAAGACAAGTAGATAATTAATAGATCTGGGGTCGTGCACTCGTGATGGAAACGATTGCAATGTTTATGTTGCGACACGTCCACACAGCCCGGGGTTTTCCTCTCTGCTCCTGCCATTAGCCTTTGAGAAGTCTTCATTTCTCTCCGCTGTCGTTCGGTTTGTGCCCACTGCCCACTTTAACTCCATTAGACTCTGTTTCTACCTGACCACCTGCCTCTCCGTCAGCACCCTCTCCTCCTCACGCAGCTGCTCTATCTGTCATTCCGTGACGTTTCCTAGTTCTCCGGTGCCATGTGGGCAGCCAAGTGGAACTGAGCCTCTGAAACTCCTGCGCTACAGCTCAGTAGAGGAGCTACAGCGTAAACGCAGCTCACATTCGGGCGTCAGAGTCAGTGCCGGAGAGCAGGGTGCTTGACGTTGAGAGACCATCTTGTCCTCTAGATAGTGGTTCAATCTGTGGTTCCTGCACAGCAGGTCATAAATTTTGATATTGCCCCTAGGCCGAACATATCTCACCGCTGATAGGAACACGTGAGCTTAATGACATTCAAACATCTGGCACATTAATGTAAACAACCCGGGGTGCAGTGGTGGTGATTGGTGTTGGTTCTCACCATATCATACGTAGCCATGTTTCATTAGAAATAAACAAGATCTGATTCTGAGTTGAGGATGTTGAACCTTTGGTGTAAGAACAGACACATTTATTTTATTTAAAGAGAGAAATTCCCTCTGAGGAATCGAACACACAGCAGGCAGAGGCGGACAGCTGCCTGTCCACACATGAACAGCCAGGCAGACAGACGGAGGGGCAGGTAGTTTGGCAGCATCAACAGCCAGGAAATGTGAATAATAATGTAAAGTCGACTTGCCAAATATTCTAAGGTCATTCTTTCTTTATCATATTAAATTCTTCAGCTTCGCTTCAGTTACAGAGGTGAAACTGGGGGTTTACAGAGTTAATGTGATCCCCCCGAGTGTTTGATTAACCTGTAACATCAAATATGGTTTGTTCTCAACACGGATTATCATATTGTCACTTGGCAGAACACACAGTCTTGTGTCGAAATCCTGCTTCATCCAGAGTGTCTGGAGACGGAAGCAGAGACAGTGATGAAGTGAAATTGTTGGACTCACCTGCAGGGTGAATTATGTAAGTGAAGCTGCTCATTCATCAAAGTCATTGTCTTTAAAAGTCGAAAAGTCTCTGCTTTGGGAGCAAGTAGAGCTGAAGTTCTATCTTATAATGTTTATTTTCTATGAAAAACTGACGACAGCTCCTGACTAGGAGGTCGACATCTGTCCGACACAAATGCATTCTGGGTGTTGAGATGGTGTTTTAAATGCAATGAGTGCAGATTACCATGACTGTGATATTGGATAAACAGTATTCTGGATTTAAATACGTTAACAATTTTAATCTGACTAATTTCTCCATCTATTTATTGTAGTTAATGCATTAATTCGACAGCTCTGATGCATATTGTATGTAATTTTGGTGAACTTGTCACATGCAGTTATTTAGGTGACACACTGCAATTAGCTGTTGCCGTTGACGACTGGTTGTTAAATGTTATTTTTATAACCAACGTTTTTATCCCCTGTTTTTGTCGACTTTCGGTGTTTGTATCCATTAAAGGAAATATTAATAGAAAAAAAAAAAACAAGTCGGTTCACAAATCCAAAAACTGTTTAAGCCAAAGACGTACAAAAACATAATTAAAAATAACGTTTAATGCCTGTTTGGCTCCAGGCGACCAAACAAAAACAGTCTCATCGAGTCGTAAACCTCGCCTTTCTGTGAAAAATGACTGACGGTGTGAGACAAAAGGCAAATCTGAGTAGCAACTTACACTCTGAGATAAATGACGACAAACAAACCTGCTAACAGATCCTGTCAGCTGCCCAAGATGAATATGTTTCTAACAAATATTGGACAATAAAGACAGCACTCACCATCACTCTGACTGCAGAGGACGTACAGGGAGGACAGGTGGAGATATGTGTGAGTTTAAAACATGGAGGTGGGAGGCAGATGTGCTGTCGCTCAGACTGATTTGTTTTGGACATTTGGGAAAAGTGAAATGCTTATCAACAAGACTGATTTATGATCCGGCAGAAATTAGACCTAGACTTCACATTTCCTCCTGCTGACGCCGATGATGTTCGCTCACTAATTTAAGGCTTTGGGAATATACGACCTGATCGTTTTAATAAATGTCGCACTTTCACAGTTGAAGAGATTTAAAAAAAAATGTTATCAGTGCCATTGTGTTTACAGCCGGAGGAGTTTCATTTATTAAAAAGCAGTAATAGCCTCCGCTGTTTGATCAACCTGGTATAGATCTGCCTGGAGACGGATCGGTCCTGGCCACAGTGGGGAGGAGCAGGATGGAAGTGAGTATTGAATAAAGAGCCTGTGAGTCAGTGTGAAGTCTCAGCACAACTGAACTTCAGTGACATGAACGGCCAACTGTCATTTGTTACAGAGAACCTTCACTGTATACTGTGATCAAACTGCCCCAGACCAGTTGGCTGTTTACTGACAAATTTGAAAAACAACAACAACAACAAAAAAAAACCTGAACATATATTTCAAGTATGTCTATGAAGATTATCAGTCATCCAGGTCAAGGTTAAAAGTTCTGTTAAGCAACTGGATGTGAAATTTTCTCAAAGAAAAAGAAAATAGTTTTTTTTTCAGAAAATATATTTCAAGTACAATTCCAGTGTTTAACGTCTTTACTGCAGACGTGGATGAATGGTTGTCAGACGCTCGGGCCTTTTCCATCTTTACAGTTATTGCTGTATCATCGTATTTTCCTCATCCCATTAAATCAGGCTTCACTCAATAATTGTCTTCATTTCAGACATAAAGCAGCGCGGACACGTCGTCTACAGAAAACTGCACCTTAGTTAAAACTGTGAAATTAAACCATAAATTACTTTGTTCTTTTTTAATTGATTTTGACAAATCCAACATCATTTCCCAACTCCTCTTATTAAATTTAGCCCAGTGGCTTGAGCAAAGATTAAAGTTCGATCAGTGCCAGTGATGAAGTACTGAGCAGGTAATGAAGCCCAAACACACCCTCATCAAGTCAGAGGTGACGATTTCTATTCAAGGAGTTTTTCGTGTCCGATGACTTGTTGAGCAATTAAACTAAGATGGAAACTACATGAAAAATCAACTAAACTTCTGTCTATTTGTTTGTGAACGCACCAGCGGACTCCTGCACTGACGCCCTGCTATGTGTGTTTACAGAGTAAAGCAGACTTGTTGTTACTCACGTGGTGAAGGCCGGGTTGTATTTGGCTCCCAGGTAGTACGAGTACAGGTTAAACATTCCTATCATGAAGGCCACGAACACCATGATGAAAATGACCATGAACTTGAAGATGTCTTTCACAGTTCGGCCCAGAGAGATCTGCAGCGGGCCGAAGCTCTCATTAGCAGGCAGGATGTAGGCGATGCGTGAAAAGCTCAGCACCACGGCGATGGCGTACAGGCCCTCGGAGATGATTTGGGGATCTGACGGTCGCCATTTGTTCCTGGCTGAGGAAGGAAGAAGAGAGTGGAAAAGAAAGAGAGTCATCCGTGTCCCTGAAGACCAGACTTGTTCCCTTCTTTGACTTTACAGACCAAACTTTTGGTTCACCACCATATTTTTTATTCCTATAATAAGAAGTCCAAGTATACTCTCTAATTAAATGTCAAATAATTTATAGCTGCAGTAAATAATTCTTCGGCTCTAAAAATAAAAAAAAAGTTTTTGGAGTATTTTATATTTGCCTCAAACTATTTAAAGTTTTAAACACGAGAAGTGAAAAAGCCTCCAAGCAATGGGCTGGGCACCAGAATCTGACCACGGACCATGGATCATTTGGTCCATGGTCGCACAGAAATCTTTTTTAATTCTTATTTTGTTTTTTTTTTCTTAGATTTTTTCCTTTTTTTTATTCAAATGCAAAGACTGCCGTCTGCTTGACTCAGTTGCAGGTTTTTCATACAATTTAAAAAACAAACAAACAATGAAATCTTTGAAATGTTAAAATACAGCATTTACTGTTAAATTGCTCTATTTTTTATCAACGCTAACAGTGGAGTAAATGCAGGGAATAATATTGCACAGAGTCGAGTCTCAGATATTTCTTTAGGGTGAAATCCTCACTTTGAAGAATGCGGATTTTGATGGATAAAAAGAGCGGGAAATTGGATTAAGTCAGGATGAAAGAGTACATTTTGAGAAAAGAAGCAGAGGGAGGAAGTTATGGAATTAAAGCTGTGCACATCAGACTGGAACAAAATGAAGGAAAGAGTTTATAGAAGAGTGTGTTTACAAACGGAGATGAAGAGGCAACAGCAGATGGTTGATGGATGACGTTACAAACGGAGATGAAGAGGCAACAGCTGATGGTTGATGGATGACAGGGCACGATGGAATCACTTGATGAAAAGAGATTTGAACTGAGCATCAACCTCAAAAAGAACCTAAAAAAATAGATTTTTAAAATCGTGCACCTGACACTTAAAGGTGTCTTTTTATGTCCAGTATTAACTGGAGTGTCATAACAGAGTCAGACCACCAGATGACAGCACTGAAGAAGGTTCCATTTGCGGAGCAGTAAAATGTATGAAGCAGCAACCTGAGAGCTGCAGCAGAGTGAGGAAGAGGACAGAGAATCATGGGCCTGGACGTAAAGAATGGCTGATAATTTATCTAAAATATTTATTTATTTTATTTTATTTTGTTGTCTCTCCTCACAGATGTCGTCATTTGGGTTTTAACTCTGGCTGAATGTCTGAAGGTGAGCGGGAACATTTCTAACTGGATGACAGACACTGATGACAGCTTTGTGTCATTTGTGGCTACTTTAAACATAAAATGTCATTTGTTTGTCTTTTTCGTATAATTTAGGCAACTAAAGTAATGTGAAGAGTCAAATGGATTGTTGTCAGGAAGTAAAAGCACAAACAGGAACACACCGTAATATATGTAAGATGGGCCATGCAATTAAGCTCCAAATGTTTTTGTCTTTGGCTTTGACAACAGTAGAAAACCACAGTTATTCTCACTATAAAAATAGAAATAAACAGGAGCTCAAGAGCTCTTCTACAACACATGTATGTGTGAGTGCGTGTGATTTACCATAGGTGAAGTAGGCAACCTCGTCAGGCAGCGAAGCATTGCTGATGTCGTCGTCGGGAACGTGCATGTCCACATACTGCTGAGCTTTGGTCGCCTTCAGGAACGCCATGAAGCGCGCCGTAAAGGACGCCACAAAGATGGAGAGCATGCCGAAATCCAGAACATTCCACAGATGCATCACATACTCCCTGGGCCCGTCGCTCCAGATTTCCTTACATTCTGACCAGATCATGCCTTGTCAAGGGAAAGAAATTATAACAAAAATAACAGACAATTATTTGACCAATATCAGTATTAATATCAAGTATAAATGAAGCACTGATGATCAGAATCATCTAGAACAGGGGTGTCAAACATACAGCTCACGGGCCAATACCTGCCCATTAGAGGGTTCAATCTGGCTCGCTTGATGAATTTTGAAAGTGAAAAAATACACAAACACAAGTTGGTGATGTTTTTTCAACTTTATATTTAAATAAATATGAATATTTTCTAATATACTTATTTACAGGAAAACAAATGGGGGAAACATGGACTTATTGTTATTTATAGATAATTATTTTACGATTGTACTAGTCTGGCCCACTTGACATCTAATGACCCCGTATGTGGCCACTGAACCAAGGGTTTGACACCCCTGGTCTGGTACAAGCATGCATACAAGCACAAACTACACTGAGTTCCCATTTGCGCCCTCACGGACGCTAAGCACGCTGTGTAACAGAGCTGCAGTCACATGGATATCGCCACCAGCTGCAGCCAACTGTATCAGTTGTGGCCCACACTATAATTACAGTCCGTCAATGTCCATTTGGAGACAAAATGAGAAAAATATTACTGTAAAGGTCCTGTGATCAGTATCATCTCTATTATAATCACTGGGCCTTCACACCACGCTGCCTGAATTACAATTACTCTGCTGCCCATCAGCCAGCACACACTGCACACAACCGCACAAACAAACGAGCACCTGTGGCTAAAACGTAAAAGAATGGTGTCATTACATGTGGACAAATAAAAAATTAAGACATATGTGTTGAAACCACCCAGCAAATAAATAATGCTGATGACATGTACGTGTGTGTGTGGGAGAACGGTAAGAGTATAATCAGACGGCAAACAGCTGAGGTCTGAGTGATGTGGCCACTTCACATGACAGGATGGCGGTTCAATCCTGCTCCTCATTCATCATGCCTGCCTCCTTGTCTGCCTTTTATCTGCCTCCCTCCTACGGACCAGCCTTCCTGTCTCTCTCACCCTCTCTCTCCATCCCTGCCGCTTAGGTTTTGCTCAGCAGCACCTCCCAGGTCACGCTCTGAATTTCTCTCCCCCTCTTCATGGCCAGCTGCTTCACCTCTGCTGATACCTACCAGGGAAGTTTTATTTGATCTTTTATACATAAAAGAGAATTAAGTGGTTGCTGCTGTGACCTTTGCTTAAATCGACTTGCTTGGTGTAACGCCTGATCAATCTTTAATTTCATCTCCAACCAAAAAACAGTTAAAAAAAGTTCAGTGAACTGTGGAGAAACTTTTTTAAATGAGTGGAGTAGACATCACTTTAAATATGTTTTTAACACAGTCTTTTTCTAAGCTGAAACATTGAAATTTTGCACGAGACTGTGACTCACCCAACACCCACTTCATGATCAACATCTCTGTCCAGGAGAACTGCGTGGTCTTCACCCTGAACACCTGTCTCGGGTGGTCTGTGATGGTCTCATTAGGCAGGTTCTTGACTCCCTCAAAGCGGTCGGATGCGTTGACGACCAGCAGACCCAGGAAGATGGTGAAGGAGACGGCATGTGCCACAAACTTCATGAAGGGGCTTCGTAGGATTTGACCGATCTGAAACAAGATTTTTTTTGTTATGTGAATGTAACTTTATACAGGATGGAATGATTCTTTATAGTCATACTACAGTATATTTGCCTAGTTTTAAAGACCCTGGGGTCTCATAATAGATAAACTAGATTTAAAAATCTCAAAGACAAATATTAATATTTAAATATAGAAATATATACATATAGAAATACAGTACATATTGAAATACATATATACATGCATATATATATATTTATATATGTATATATTATTTGTATTTGTATACATTTGAATAAATATAGAGGGCTGCTACTTTTTTTGTGCAGTTCTCATTTAAATTTCTACAGTTGAGATTTTTTAAATCAAGTTTATATATATACATGTATATATATGTGTATATATATGCACATATATCTATGGTCAATGTACATTGGCCATAGACTTCTTAAAAGCGCCCAGTGGACCATGAGCAGCCGCACAATCCCCGGAACCCCAGCCTCATTATTCAAAAGTTAAATAAATTAATCTTTTGTACGGTTGACTTTACGGCGGGGGACTTTATGTGAGCTGCCAAGCTGGTTTGTTTGTTGTTAGTTCAGTAGTATCATAGGTCAACCACTGCTGAGTACAAAGGCTTGGAAATACTGCCACTGTAATGTAGTGTGCAGCTGGACGGGGCTGTGTTTACCAGCTAAATGAGTGCCTGCATAAGTAAGTAGTTTTAAGAACTTGGAGTCATTGATTTAAAAAAGTCAAAGACTGGCAGACGAAGCAGAGCTTTTCATCCTCAGGGAGCAGAATATCAAAAGCACCAATACATCAGCATGTTAGCAGAAAGGTAACATCTGTTGTGATTTGTAGCTGCGTTAAACCACCAACCACCTTCGCTGCCACGTAATCCCACAGTCACTGCATGCCAACAATCACAGGCTGTGAAAACGCACCGTATGGGGCTGGGGGAGTAAGGAGCGTTAAACATGCAACCACACAGGGACCCTTTCATACTGTAATTGCAAAAAAGTACACACCCACAGACATAGACTCACTTCCAACCCCATACAGACATCTGAGACACCACCATTCGCTACTCTCTGAACCTGCTGTGTTCATTATTACCTACCCACAGGATATTTCTGCTCCCCGCACGTACGGTGGCACACAGGATTCTTAAGCTTCCTAAAAAACCACCAACTACAAAAGAACCCAGGTTGAGGTTGTCTGGTAAATCTGGCCGTGGCCAAACCCCAAACAGCACAGATAAGGTGGATCTACTGTCACCTTGCTGCCAAAATAAATGAACACAAAGACTGTGAGTAAAAAAAACCCAGGGGTTTCTTTTTAATCAGTGTGATGGTGACAAGAGCTGATCTTTGTCCTCCGACAGAAGTGTGGCTGCTGGCAGCGGAGGAACAGGAACTAAATAAAAGAGGTTTGGTGTGAAATAGGAGCTCAGTAGGTCAGACAGACACCGCTCTGCTCTCTGTTATTCTCTCACATAAATTCAACTGGAACAATCAGAGCTGATGTCCACAGTCACTGTGATTGGTTAAAGATGTAGGTAAGTGCATTGTGTGGAGCTGTGTTGTGATTCAATGCGTGCTGCTCTGAAAACAGTCGACACCAGGGTTAAAGGTCAATAAGATATTAGAGCTATGGTGCAAAAAAGGGTCATTGTTATCGGTCATTGTCCAAGGTTGGGAATCAAACCTGCAATCCTACAAGATTGCGCATAAAAGGAAAATTGTACAATGTCTCGGTCTTGAAAGTAAGGGTTGGCTGTGATTCACCCAGAGAGCTGATCTCTGTCAGGGAACGTCTGCCTGTTTCAAAAACAATTCCTTAGCCAGAATTAGAGAAAGTCTGTCATCATTTACAATAAATGAATAATATTTCAACAATATTCATGAAGTCAGGAGGTATCTGTGTCTTTTGGCATTTAAAAAGGTCAGCAATCGTGTGCAGTAAAAAAAAAAATGTTAATAGAAGTTCTGGAGTTTGACAATTTGCTTTTCAGTCAATTCAAGGGATGTTGGATTCATATTCCAGACATCGTGTAGCAGTGCACGAGGTGCCATGGCATCAGGGGCCTGCAAATAAATTTGGAGAGACTTCTGTTCTAGCAAATCTACAGAACAACTGCAAATAAAGATCCAAAACTGGTCCTTGGACAACTGACCTGCCTGCGATCCAGAGTTGTCTTTTACTGAAAACTATTGTGACTCAAGATCATTATATGTGAAGTTTTATTTACACTTTCTTTGTTTTTAACAACTGATTTAACCACAAGACAAATAGATTAGGACCACAGTCTAAAAGTCTGACTATTGATCTTTTCTGCCATTGATTCCAGCGGCTCTGGACAGAATTACGACACATGTGGAAATTGACTTTTGTCCACACTCTTGGTTATTGTTCTCTGTCTCTCTCCCTGCTGTGAATACACACATAGATCTCCATTTAATGAAGAAGGATTTTCTCAAAAACCTTTTGGCAATGTACTGACCCAACAGTTCCCTGTAGAACTATCACTGTGCTACGTCTGTTGCTTTATAAGATGTTGAACTATGTTTCGGTGAGAATAGTCTTTACAGCTTACTGACAATATTCCGTTCCTTACAATTAACAGATCGTGAGCCGTTCCTGTGTGTATCGATTAGACTTTGACCCAGACCTGAATGTCCCACGAGACGTGGACAAAAAAACAAAACTAAAACAGATTGACCAGAAAGTGTCAATCAATTAGAGAGAAAAATCTAATTAAAACAGATGGCTTGACCAGAAAGTGTCAATCAATTAGAGCTCACCTGCAGAAAAATCTAATTAAAACAGATGGTAGCTTGCAAAAAGGCGATTTAAAAACATTAACGAGCTGACAGGGAGTGTGGGAGAAACCTGTTTCATTTATGAATCCTATCATTCAAAATCATACAATTATTTAATGTAATAGTCTCTGCACCGAGTCTCTTCCTTATACTGACAGTAACGTGGACTCTTTCTGTATCTCTAAGATACTCCAATCTTTGAGCTACAAGTTAACTTTAAAGCATTCTTCATCTCCGTGAATAAAAAGACTACACACAAGATTAGGACATTAAAGGAAAGCTCGGACTGAGGGGTTTCTGAGAGGCATGGGTGAAATGGATTGGATGAGCTGAGGAGACAGAGATATAGTAAACAAAGCAGCGAAGACGGGGCTGCAGGGCAGGAGAAAACATGGAAAGATTAGGAGAAGATCAATGGACCTGGTGAAGGAGATGAAGAGTGTTGAAATGGTATTTAATGGAGTCAGAAGGTGAAGGTTGACCGAGGTAACAACAAAATGAATGAATAATACAAATTATTTAGATATTTTGTTGACTAAAATTAAACTAAAATGAATCAAAGGTGGCGTTGTGGCAGTAGAAATTTTATACAAAGGCACAGTTGATCATTAACTTTGCTGGAAATGCACAGAGCACCACAATGTGGCGCCATGACACAATCATTTTTAGACTTGCAGTTGAATAAATGTGGATGTTTTGAGGCAATTTAAAAACATATTGAACCAACAGACTGTTCTGTTGTCCTGTTCTGAGAATCCTCTTAACTTCGTCAGGTTTCCTCAAAGCGTGACTCACTGTTGAATCAACGTATTATTTCATCACACAGTCTCTAATAAAAGAAAGAAAGAAAAAATCTAATAACATCTGGAGAAATAAAAATAAAAAAACACTATATCCTTCAGTAGTAATTATCAGCTTCTCTGCAGGAATCAGTTTTCAAAGGAGCTGGATCCATGTAAACAAATTCTGACTTATTAATTTACCCCACCCCCCGACACACACAGACTATTTACACAAACACTTGGACAGCGATTCCTTCACAGAGATGGTGTATGTTCCAGAAGGACAGAGACATGGCGTCCAGTCCCAGTTCTTTTATTTCACCTCTCAGTTGTTTTGTTTCCATTACTGTGTTTCATTTCTGTGCTCTCTCTCCTGTCAGGCTACACAGCGACCTGTTCCAATCAGAAGGAAACATGCTCCATCAGAGCCTCTATCTGGTTTTCATCTCGTCTCCTCTGTTTCCCTCCTGAGGAATTTTTCCATGAAAAGTCCTTCCCACATTTCCCTCTCTCTCTCTAGTGACTTGTTTTTTTTCTTATCTCTGAGCGTGAAAAACATCAAAAATCGATAGTGCCCCCCTGTGGTGGGGCAGTAGAGCAGGTACTATACTGTGAGCTATGTAGCCTTGTAGTAACTGTACAAGAAGGATAGTAGCAGCAATGGTACTACTACTACCAATGCAAGTATTACCACTAGTGCTACAGTGTAATACTTGTAGTTGTAGGATCCACTACTACAACAACAACGACTACAACTATTACTGCAACAAAAAATATTACTACATACTACAACAATGACTATGGCTATATAATAAATACGTCTTCTACTATTTCTACTATTCATACTACCACTAATAGTACTACTACTACTACTACTACTATTACTATGTACTAGTACTACTTCTGCTACTAATTCTACAATTACTCCTAGTAATACTAGTACTGTTCAGGCCGCCTCGTCTAGGGCTTGATTTATAATCAACAGTAATTATGCAGCCATGTCTGTGCAGTGACAGACCAAAACAGCCATTTTACATTAACATAAACATGTGTTTCTGCAGCAGCCACTGTCTGACCTCAGTGGGGGCAGGGGGACTCACTCATCTGTGCATCACTTCTCTCATACTCGACACATGCATCGGAGTCACTCACTCTCTCCTAGTCTGGAAAATGTACTTATTCACCGGTGGCGGCTGACACTCAGACAGAGTGAAATCTGTTTCAGGCACACGGTTCTGACAGATGCTGCGATACAGGCAGAGAAATCGTATTATCCTGAGTGACAGTGACTTTTGCTTAAGCTTTAGCTCAGCCCTGTCATGTTGTGTCATTTCAAAGATTATAATTTTCTTGATGGAGTGTTAACAACACCATGTGCCTGGAGCTGCGCATAATAAAATGGTGATTATACATTAATTTAAATTACAAATCTAGAGCCCGTCTCGTCATTTGACCTTCCTGCATGGAGGCTATACATACATAAAATTATATTTACTTTTCTAATAGGGGTTGGTGGGTATACTGTATGTAGTGCACTGTAGTCAGCAAAAAAGCCTGTATTCTGATAAGTACGTGTATGTACGTGTATATATTCTTACCCTACTGCAAGGCATTATCCAATAGGCGATTGCCAGGAAGGGCAGACCTACAGTGACGCCCAGTACAGTCCAGCACTTGACGCCGATGGACTGCTGCCTCAGTCCAGGCAGGTTCTCGTACCAGATAGTCAGAAGCTGCTGCTGGCAGTTAGGATGAGCAACAAACTAGAAGAAAAAGTAAAAAAGTGAAGAACATTACATTTAATAATTTTTTTTAGAAATACTGTATAACAGGACTCAATAGAAATGACCTTATTACTGGGCACGAGCCTTTGAATGATAGCGTTCAACTGGGAACAAAAGTACACTGAGGTTTTTAGTTGAATTTCACTTTAATCTTTCAGTGGGACTTTTGACTCTCTCGGCTATATGTTAATGTGTTACATTTGTCTCAGTATAATGCGATGACAGGGCAACACAGGGGAAGCGCGGTTGGTGCTCATGCCTCACAGCAGGAAAGTCACTGGTTCAAGGCTAAGTAGTCTTTATGTATGGAGTTTGAATGTTCTTTCATTGTTTTAAGGTTTTATTTTTTTCACTTTTCTTAATGGCCAATTTTTACATTACAACATGAAACGTTTCAAGAGATAACGCCAAAAAGCTTTTTATTTCTGATTAGGAATTGGACTTTACTACAGCCATAAGACTCTGCTCTCAGGGTGAACGTTGCCGTGGAATCATTGACTTCACCCAGAGGAAGAATGACTCAAAGCCCAGTGAACTTCCTATCATTTGTCAATGATGGGGGGGCTGCAGGGGCCCACGCTGCTCTGTAACTAATGAGTGATGTGGCTGCAGGGACCTGCACTCATTCTCACTTCTCTGAGGCTTCACGCATCATGGAAAAAAAACTTTAGTGCACACTTGGAGCTGTCTGAGATATGAGGGCGAACTCCACCCATCCATCACTGTGCTGAGCCCATGTGTCTGTCATGTGGGACATTCATGAGAGCATAACTGTCTCCTTGTCTGATCTGTTCACAACTTGTATAATTTGTGGACAGATGGGACATGAGCTGCCATGGACGTCCAGCCCCGGGACACAAACCACTGTTTAAAAAGGCTTCGAAAACTAGTCAAAGAAGTTTTAGAAGTCTAACAAAAAGTGAAAGTCTGAAATTGAAGAGAACTAAATATTTAAAGAAATGTGAAATATTTAAGAAGTCTAACAAATCTAACAAGTCTAGGGAATGTATTGGTCTAAAAAAAACGATTTCCGTTAAAGTGTCTTTTCAGTTTTCAGGCAATAAAAAAAAAAACTATAATATGCTTCCTAAAGTTGAATTAAAAACATTGTTTCCTCCGATTCAAAACGTAAATATTGAAAGTTGAAAACGTTGATTAAATAAAACTTGACAAAGTTAGAATAAAAAAACAAAACAGTCAAAACTGTCGGAGTCGCCTGAGAGACTGGTCTGAAGATGGTCTTAGATTTTATTACATCAGCTTTAGAATTGTTGGTCTCACAGTACATACACATATTTATGGTTTCTATAATCAATACCTAAATATTATAATCAGATCTGGGATCTTAGAAAACTGTCATAGTCATTAACTTGTGACTTTGTTCTCATAAACTCACGACTTTAATCTTGTAATTTATTATATAATGTACTACTCATATTACAGAAGTGAATGGGAAAAGCCCTAAATCATTTAAGAACGGACGACATATGAAGCCACAGATGAATGAAGCTCACGAACGTCCGACATCAATCCTCACATTGATTTCTTTGAAACTAGATGGAGACACTTTTTCCACTTCCCTTTCTTCAGAGCAGAGTTATGACGGGGTCCAGGTCGTTCAGACGGGGTCATCACTCAGGGTAAAGTCATAAACACTCCAGCTCATATTGTACTACAGTATGTATCTACGTGCACTGTACATACAGTACTGTACAGTCAGTATATACTGTCCTACTTTTAACCGCTGTTGAACTGATGGGTTTTTTTTTTTATTGTTCAATTCTCCATAGTAAATATCACACAGTAGTTCAACAGTATGTGCGGGTAATGTAAATAAATCTCAACTGGTTATTTTAATAATTTTTTTTTTTTGGTCCTTCCTTTTACTGCTGTGACTTCAACATAAAACATTTGATTTGTTTAAGGTTCGGATGGAGGGGATGAAAATGCAAGAGAACTTTCACAGCATGTTTGGTTTTATTTATTTTAAAAAGTGTTTCGTTTCCATTTAGAACCAAATCAAAAAAATCTAAATTCAAACCTGGAGTTGGTAGAAATTTGGAAACTCATTCAATTCCAATCAACTTTCTGAGCCTGAAAGTTTTATGAATGAATAAATACTGAGTTTTTTTGTATAAAATTCGACCATGTTTCCAGTGGACTCACCACCCGCAGGGCGGTTGGTACGGTGCACAATGTTTCCTAACGGATAAGCGGATGAAAATGGATGGATGGATGGATGGATGGATTAGACCATGTATTCAGAAATAAACACAGAGAGGTTGTGACCTTGTGCTAAAGACATTCCTTGGTATTCTCACAGGGGCTCTTCGGTTTCTTTTACACTCTGCTGACACGGCTGCATGAGTCCCTTTGGTTCTGACCATGTAACACTTAAAAATAACCCAATTCCCCACGTTCTCCCAGCTGCTGCAGACAAGGTCGTTCAAGCTGATGGATATATTTTCATATATAAATTTTTCTCAACGTCTATTTACATTCTTTTCATTCCTGGCGTCCCGCTCCAGTACTGAATTTAAATGATACGTTATTATGTGACCGGATTTACAGGTCACACAATAACCATCTTAACTATGTGTCGACTGCATGGAAAAATATTCAGCGCTTCAGAGAGGAACTGATACACTGAATACTAAATACTGCACTCATGAGGATGACTAGTGTTGTTTTTTCTTTATGGTAATGTCCACTGTTTTATACAGTATATATATATATATATATATATATATATACACACATATATATATACACTGTGTGGTGAAAAGTGCACGTTCCCTTCATTTCTATTTGTAGAAACTCACAGTCCGTTGGTTTCGGCTGCTGCCACTTTACTTCATAGATTTAAAAAATGCCAAGTAAGTTGAAAATCTATTTAGCATGCAGTGTGTGTAAAGGAAGCAGCCCAATGAAAATAACCAGACATTGACTGCTGAGCAATGTACTGTACAGTCGACTGGCTGCTGCATTTGTTGATGATAAATGGAAACCACCACGGTTCCAGGGAAGAAGGAGAAGATGAATGTTTTTGTTCCCAACGGAAGAAGGATGTGGACCACACAGCAATCAATGCCCAGTAGGCGGTCACCGGAAGAACAATCAAAGTGCACGCTGCGTACTGTTAATCGTTCACATCCAGGAGCCGAGAAACAGGTTAATTCTGGTCAAAGCTGTTTTTTTCCGTTAGCCTCTCTGTGATCAACCTGCGTCAGTCATTTCACAGCCTCAGGTATTAGATTGCAGAGCCACGATCTCACCCACTGATTGGCACACTGCGCTCCTGTCGGCTGATCTAAACTAACAATGTGGAAACGTTCCCGGTGTCATATCTGATACCACATTTTACACACACCTTCAATCAGTCCCAGTTTACATCCGAGTTTCCAACTGGCGTCCTGTGGAACGGTGTAACAATCGACTGACCCATGACACTGACCCACGCAGCATGCAACAACATAATTACACTCAGTCATGCTCCACCTGGTTTCCATGGCGATGGGTCCCTCCCTCTATCCCGTCTTCCTCAGTAATTAGCTTCCAGAGTTTTTGTCACGCTTCCTTGTACATGCTGAAGATATAGGCTGTGCACCGACCCGCAGGTATACAGTAAAGGTCAAGGAGGAGTGTGCCTACGTGTGTGTGTGTGTGTGTGTGTGCGTAAGTTTGCCAAGGTCAAGAATTGGCAAGGTCTCGTTGTCAAAATGGTGAAATACCTGAAGTTCTTACTGGAATACTAATGGTTTAAATGTCAACTTATATCTGGTATATTGACTGTAATTTCGAATAACTGTTGTCAATATAGCTACAAATACCTAAAACCATTAAACTGTTCATTTTTTAAAACCATCATAAAAGAAACTTCAAAATGAATTAAAAAATATTTGTCACAGACAGAATTTGACACAGCAAAGCCAATTGAAACTAATTGGCTTTGCCCGTGTCAGAGGCCTGCCCCTTACTTTGAGAACCCCTACTTGGAGGAAAGTGAGCTAGCCATTGTTTCCCTGCTGTGTGTGCAGTTTTTTTATGACAGTTTTATTGTAAATCACATATTTCTTTCATTTTGTATAAATTTTTTTGAAATACTGGACCTACCTTTTTGACTTCGTATTTAATGGCCATTTTAATTCGGCTGAGGCAGGGTCGGTTGTAAGGCCTTGGCGGGCACAGGTCAACATCACCGTTCAGTATGGCCTCCACTTCCTCTGTGTCTCGACAGAGGTCCAACACACCCACCACAAAGTCCTTACACTGCATGGACAGCTTTCGGTAGTCGTTCTATGTTGAAGTAGGAAGAGGAGAGAAGAGAAAGGTGCAAAGGGTGAAAAAAAAAATCTGAATACTTTTTACTTCAACCCTGTGTAACAAGAAATTTCTAGCTTTCATTTTTAACTAATGGTAATAAGGAGTATCTATGATGTACTTTTTACCTTACTCATGTGTAATAACAAATACTGCTGTTGTACTTTTTTTTTTTAGTTTAGTGATGCATAATAACAAATACCTCTGCCATAGTTTGGACTTTAGTCATGTGTAAAAACAAATACTGATGCAGTACTTCGTACTTTACTCAAGTGTAATAATAAATACCTGTTATATTTGTTACTTATGCATGTAATTAAAACCAGTTCTGCAGCATCATTGACTAATTACACACGTAATTAGAAATAACTGCTATAATTTTTCAGCCGTAATAAGAATCAACTGCACATGTTAAAAATCCCTTTGTTTTGTTTTCCTCTGTTCAGCACTAACACAAATATTCTCCATTCAACGATACTGCCTCTGTTGAAAAGTTCATCCTCTACTTCTGCTGTCCAATGGAATACCTCTAACTCTGTGGACCTTCAGTGACCAAATGAGGAACAGACCAAAGAAATGACACATACAGAATGAACGCAGGGTAAACAAAAAAAAGAAGTGTAATTGTAATGAGTTGGGGAGCCCCTGTACATATTTTGGCTGGACTTTAACAAACCTTTTTGCAGCACAGAAGCTGTAAACACACCTGTGTTTCCTGCAGGTTCAGACGCACGATCACGTGGTTATATAGTTACTGAGTATTTTCTCTTTCTTCTGACCAAACATGCTCCTACAGTTGTTTTAATAATGAATACAACTTATTCAAAGTTTTTTGGATAAGTCACACCACAAAAATGATTATTTAAACCTGCAGGGGGCAGGCCTGGTGTGCATAGTGCATACAAAGCAGTTTTTCTGCAGTGACTGAAAAACAAACAGTTTTCATCACTCTGCACTTTTCGCTCTGTATGCCGCGTTTATCTCGGAATACATTGTAAAATCGGTTTTGTGGAGCTGGAGTGTGTTGTAGTGTAGAATAATGATGATAAAACACACATTATCAAACATTTTAAACTTGAAATGACTCTTCTGAATGTAATTCATAATAATGTAATTTATACTGTAAATAAGTATATACTGTACATAATTCCTGTTGGCCTTTTGAGTCAGTTACAATATCATGGAGACTTGAAGCAGCACATCCACAGGGTACTGAAGGTGAAGAGGGGGCTTCCGGAGTCAATAACATTTGCATTAAGGTACATCAGGAACACGTAACACGTAGACACCTTTCGCAGAACGCACATGGAATTGGAATTCCACTCACATTTCCTGGTTTGTGGGTTTTGCCTCAGGTGCTGCGATGAAATAATGGGGGACAATGCAGCGAAAAGAAAAACAAGAGAGCAAGAGAGAGAGAGCGAGAGAGAGAGAGCAGTTGAAAGCAGAGAAAGAGTGGTTACAGATGAGTGGAGGGGTAAGGAGGGGGAGGGGGGCATGAGACAAGTCTAAAATACAGAGAGAGAGGGTCGGAGGCAGCAGGGAGAGAGTTGGTGTTATTGTACTTCTATCAGTATATAAAGTACTCTTTTTATTTCTCTTCTCGTTTTCATCTATTTTCTTTTTGCTCTTCTCCTTTTCTTCTCCTTTTCGAGAACATAAAAAAATAAACACTTTTCAGCGCTGCTTTGCCTGTGAAATACCCAATGATTCAATTAAAAAGATCTCTCTTAAAAAACCCCGTTGACTTTTACTCCCATTCATTTTTATCCACCTCACGGTCACCTAGAGGATGGAGCCAATCCCAGCAGTCATACGGTGAGGGTAAAGGTGAGGGTGAGGATTTGGAAATGGAGCTTAAACACTGGTCGTGGTTTCGGCTCTGCTAACACTGCCCTCAGGCGTCGCCGTGCTCGTGAAGGTCTGTCTATCATTTGTATCCTCGTTCTTTGTTCGACTAGAAGACTAAGCACACACATTAGGAAATAAAAAGAAATGACAAATCATAAACTTGTAATAACCTACAGTCTCATGTGCCTTATATAAAGTTCTACATTTTTATTACCACTGTTCTCAATTAACTACATCTGTGGATCTGAAATGATTGTACTATTATCACTGGGTGTACTCTGGTCCTCAGTAGTAGTACTGGGGGGTTAGAAGCTCTCAGAGTAAAAAACAATTGCACCAATAAAAACAAACAAACAATCACCATATTTTTACTATTATTTTACTTAGTGTACCAATGCTAGTTTTAGTCTTACACTTTCTTTTGTCTTTCTTAATTTCCTGCCAGTAATGTATATCAGGTTTAGGCCCGAAATATGCACTGTTATTTTTTTAATGGATCTCCATAGGCATCAAAGTTTTTACAGAGCTCGACTTTTGGTGTGCCACTGCAGTACCACAATTATTATTATTATTTTTATTATTATTGATAGTAATAATATTAGTGAAATCCACTGTGCACCCTGCTCTGCTCCTCTGTCTAAAGCTATTATCACACTGTTTTGACAATATTTGATATTGCAGTGTAATGAGGGGATGGCGAGGAAACAGAGGGGTGATAATGAGATGGTAATGAGAAAGATGAGCTCCAACACAAGTCGGGTCCCACAGGTGAGCCCTTCTCATTAACTTGTCTGAAAACGTGGAACACAGTGACAAGCAGAAGGGCTGAATGACAAACATAAGAGTGGACAGATGGATATGAACCGACTGTACGGAAAAACAATACAGAAGTGGCTAAGAGTGGACAGATGGATATGAACCGAGTGTACGGAAAAACAGAAAAAAATGTCAAAGCTGAATTCAGAAGATATATGGATATATATTTTTTCAATATTTAAAAATGATCCTGTTCAAAGAATAGCAGCAATAACTGCTGCACCACTGTGACAAACCCACCCAACCCATCCACACACTCAGACACAGATTGCAGTAGTTTTCCAGCAGCTGCACCGAGGCTTGTTTCAGCAGCTACAGCATTTGATATGCAATCTTTTTTCACTGAAAAGTCCAAGGAAATACATTTTCCCTTTGGAACAAAGAAAGTGTTCCACTGTATAACCACCACAAGTTGGAGAAAGATAGCGACAATAATAAGCAGCTCAGAAGAATAATAAGAAGAAGGGAGCATGCTGAGAAATACATTCATGAAGAGAATGGAGAAATTATTGGCAAGATTGACAAAGACAGAAATACACATTTTCATCCACCTCTGGGAACCCTTTCTGCATGAAATGGACTTTATGAAAAAACTAAACAAACATTTTCTTGGGTTGAAACATGTTTTCACAGACAAGAAGAGACCACCTCACCTTAAATTCCGTCTCGATGTTGGCTAGCCTAGCTAGTTCGTTGCTGAGCTCCAGAGCAGTCAGAACCGGATCTTCACTGCTGAGCGACAGGTAAGCCGCACTGGCCAGGCCTTTGTAGGCGTTCATCCTGGAGCGGGAGTGACTGAAGGAGTCTTTCTTCTGTTTCTCCACACATTCCGTGCACTTACAGAAGTAGTCGTGTGGTCTTTCGATGCGTGCCCCCTTCGTCAAAAGGATGTGGACGATCTCGTACTCCTGGCAGTGGGCTGCCAGGATGATGGGGGTGATATCGTGAGAAAAACGTGTCCCGTCCTCATCGTAGGCATAAAAATCGTCATCTCGCATCTCCTGCTCCAGGGGGCTCAAAGCGAGTCTGAGCCCCCCCCCAAAGGCAGGGTGGGCCAGAATGGCCTCCACTATTCGAACATAACCTTTGGAAATGGCCAAAAGCAGGCCGTCCCCGATCCTGGCCAGGCCATCCTTCTTCAGCAGCAGCTCGGTCACTTCAAGGTGCTCATTACCAACCGCCAGCTGCAGAGCATTCTGCCCCATGTAGTCAACGCAGTTAAAGTTTAATGTTTTGGATTCTTCCAGCATTTTTCGGACCACAGGAATGTTCCCGTATTCAGCAGCATCCAGGAAACGTTCTTCCTCTGCAGTGAGCGCTGAGCCTCGCTCATTGAACATGTAGGCCGGGCCTCGTACTGCTTGGCGACGCCCCTTCTCTCTCAGTGTGGTGTGTCGACGATGCATGGCCTCCACCCTGGCAGTGAGACAGGAGGAAACATCAAATTAGCCTGATGGTGTTCCTCAAAGGTAGAGCAATTTAGAGTATAAAAAATGGAGCCATAAAGCGTGGTGTGACTAATAAAAGTACGACGCAGATATGGGCTCATTAATCAGACTAATTAAAGTGCAAGTGAGGCAACAACACCTTCATTGTAGCAGAGCAGGCAGTGGGTTTAACACAAAATCATATTCTGAAGTGAAAAGAGAGAAAGCTTTGGTATTCACCCAGATATTTTGATTTTAAATTCTCCTAAAAATCAATTAACCAACAGCAGGATCAAAGCTCACTGTAGGGCCATCAGAGGTCAACAGCTCTGATTGGTGGAAGAGAGATGAAGCTGTCACTTTAATTACTCCGGCCTGACAAACTGGGGTGTTTGGCCAACTGTCACAAATCTGTCCTTAGACGTCAACAACACATGAATACAGAGAGTAGAAAGGTTTCATGAACCTGTCACAGCAAACTGACGTGTTGTTCAAGCAGCTGTGTCGTTCATGTGATTCTAAATGCTACAAAAATGATTTAACCTTTCACAACAAAATAAACCACTCAAACAGAAGAAAAAGAAAGAACTTTTGATTTACAAAATTACAACAGAATTATTTAGAGCAAAACAACACCTGTTGAGTGGGTGCAGCATACGGAAACACAGCTAGAGTACGTGCCCACTTTTATTTTGGAAATATTAAAGCCACACAAATGCCCAATTTTTACATATGTTCAGGTCAATGACAACATGAAATGAAATGAGTTAAGGTATTTCACAGGTTGGTGTATATGTGTGTGCATGTGTATGCAACTGTGGGATGCGTGGTAGGAAGAAGTATGAAGGAGAAAACCACGATGAAGGAGAAGAAAAATGGAACCTAGGAGATGAGAGAAAAAACAACTTGAAAGACAGACATTAAAAGACTGTCAAATTCAAGAGCTTTTGATTTTTCGATTTACACAATCAGCTTTGTTTGCCTCAGGCTGACAGTCAATGGTTGATGATCTCTCTCTCTCTCACTACCGCCCTTTGCTTTTTCTCTCTTTCAGTCTCTCTCTCTGTCTTCTCCTCCCTCTGTTCCTGTCTCTCTGTCTGCTTTCTCCCTCTCTCTCTCTCTCGCCCCTGTCCATTCTTGTGTGACTGCCCTAACCTTAAACACTGACCCAAAAAATGACAAAAGGTAAAATCTTGCCCCAAAACTACAGCCTCTGAGGAACACTCACACACAAACATAAATAAGGAGACAGTCTGGCTGCCGTCCGTTTCTTTCTTTTTATATAAACCTTACGGTGGGATAATGAATTGCCTTCTTCCATCTCATTCTCTTTTCCTTTTCATCCATCTGAATGTTTTTGATCCTGATGAGAAATAGAATTTAGCCACATCATTTCTGCATGAAATTACAGTCACAGCAGCAGGACGAGGGAATCACAATGAAGAGTGATGGGTAGTGTGTGTGCATGAGATTGTGTGTTTGTGCGCGAGGAAGAGAGGGGGAGAGAGAAAGAGAGAGAGAGAGAACGACTGAGTGAGTCAGACAGGAATTTTGTATTTGTATTTCCACTGGACTGAACTATTGTTTATGATTGTGGAAATATGTCAATGTTGAGGATGAACAGTTTTTGTTGCCAAAAAATGATCGAAATCTTAGAAGAGTTTTCTTTCCACTTTAATGTAAGTCTGGTTCGACCCGACTGGTGAAACCCTGGATGTGTTCAGACACCCTTGAAGAAATGACCCACCCCCCCATGTTCAGACACCCTTGAAGAAATGACCCCCCCCAAAAAAATGCTTTCAACTAATTAGTAGTCATTCACAAAAGCCATATATAAAAAGAACTCAAGGTCAAGACAAGGCAATGTCCTGCAGTGATTGGCCAATAATATCAGCGGAATTAAATCAGTAGAAGAAATTTTCCAAACTCTGAAAAGAAATTCTGTCTCTTATTGGAAAAACATTAAGTGCGGGGTGGACTAAATGAGGTGGACCAATGAGATTGGTTTGTTAGAGCTTGTCATTAACAGTGACAAAAAATACAGATCAAAATAAACAGCAGCAATCGACAAACACAAGAGTTCTGGTTCAACATCTGAAGAAGTTCTTCAGGTTACACACTGGGATCAGTGCCTACTGTATGGACTATGGACAAAGTCTCAGTGAAGCTCTGGGAAAGGACTGAAAGAGCACTATTTTAACCCAGATTGACCAGGTGATGATGTCACAGGTGATGATGTCACATCATGGACAACATGTGATCTCTACATATCAACTTAGATCCAAATTTGAAAAAAAAAAAAATTCACATTAAACCCTAACATCTCATTAAAACATCAGCGAAATGTTACTACAGACCAGTTTTACTTGTACTCGGTACATAAGGCTGTACTTGGATACATTTATTACTTATACTTTTATCTTTAATAATGGCCTTAAATAAAAGCAGAAAAACAAACAAATTGTGGAACTATTGACTTCGCAAACACTAGTAGATGTTTACTCTTCTCTGTGTGAGCGTCAGCAGGAGAGCGTGCGAAAAGTGGAAAAATTCTACTGCAGCCTGTAAAGTATCCTCTCAACTCATGGTACACATCATTACTTTTTCTAACATTTTTTATGTCATTGCGGTGAGTTATGGGTTTAATGATTTGAAAATATGCTCTATTTTTTATGTAACTTCAGTTTCTCTACATCATGTTGGATTTTTGGTGCAAATTGCACTTCTACAGCTGCCAGCTCGCATTTGATGGTGCAGCTAAGTCCTAGTGTGGCAGATCAGTCAGGACGTCTAACCCAGCAGCCAGCTCGCTGCTCCATTAACAACAAAACTGTCTGAAAGAGTAAGAGACAAACACCGCACTGAGTCACTGCCTCTGACACTGAACGTCATGATCATCAAACTGTGGCTCCAAAACCTGAAGGTAAGTCACATGAGATTTAGACTCTAATATATTTACAGTAGGTGGCGACATATTCAGTACTTTACTGAATATTTCATAGTAAATGTATTCAGGTTGGAGAGATTTTCGGGGAAATTCTGACTGAGTACAGCCTGAAACAGTTCCTCTTCACAGCACAATAAAGATATTTTCATAGTCCAGAGTGAATGGCCAGAGATAATGTCAAGTGACTGTTGTGCATTCAAACAAGTGACTGGATTTAATACAGTATATTTGTTCCTGCAATTATGAGATTATTTCCCTCGCAGCAATATAAGAAACATAAAAAACTACTGTATTTGTTTATTGTTTCATTTTAATAAAACTCTGACAAACCATAACCAGTCACACAGCTGTGTAGTTGTACTCCCCAGTTAAAATGCTGGAAATAGTAGAAGATTATACTAGAGGCAGCTGACATGGTCAAAATTATGTTTTGATTAAAACGAGTGAAAATTTGAGAAAAACTCATAAATGAAGTTTTTATTTTCAATGTTTAGACACATAATGAGTTTTTTTTATGAGCTGTAATTTCACACACATCTCCCGCTCTATGCCTCACCCCACCCTCTCTTTCTCTCTCTGTCTTCATCCCTACAACCCCTCTCTGTCTTTCTTTTTCTTGGCTGTCAAGCAGTAAATTGGTAATTTTGCAGAACAAAGAATGAAGTGCTTCCCATGGTTGAGTGGTAATCAGAAACAGACACGTCCTGAACTGGTCTGCATGTCAGGCATCAGTCGGAGGAACACATACAGATCCAACAGGGGTGTATCAAAGAGACAAGGGACAAGGGGAGATCAAAGAGCCAACACTGAGGCCTGACATTCTCCATATCTGACGCTGCTGCTGCTGCTGCTGCTGCACCACGTCCATTAACTACGTCACACTTTGTACACAGCTTCCCTGAAATGTTTTCTGCATGGATGCAAAAACCTACATTCACTGAATTGCTTCTTAAGTAGATGAAAATGTTTGAAAATAAAAAAAAAAAAAATTAAATGTTAAAGGTAATAAAAGCGCTCCAATTACTGTTTAAAGGATGACGAGTGGAGCAGTGTAGAATGGTCTGAGTCAACTGATGTGTATAAACTGCTGAAGCTTAACACACACACACACACACACACACACACACACACACACACACACACACACATGCAGAGACACACAGTCCCTGACGCCTCCCGTTAATATATTCATGCACTGGAACCAATCAAGATGTTGTCTCTCAACGCAAGAATGGCTCAAAGACTGTGGAGGAAAGTCTCTTAAAGACACACTGTCACACACACACATATAGCTTGTTGATAAGAGAGAAAAAAAAATACAGAGAAAAGGAAATACACATATTAGTTTAACACCAGCTGACTAATTAAATATGACTAGAGACGTCTGATATTAACTTATTAACTGGATATCTGATATGCCGACATATCCAAACACTTAATTTCCGATTCCGACATTGGTACTGATGTTATCAAGTCACACCTCATCCAGGTGAGGGATGTTTTACCATATTTTAAAAGGGACTTTGTGGATTTGTGTGCACTACAAAACCCCAAGGACAAATCGTACAAATCTCCGCCTCGATTACTGCCACAACATGTTGTCTTCACTTTAATCAACATTGAATAAAGTAAAGAAAGATTCTTTTAATAACAAATCAGCATTAACAACTGTAAAAAGATAACCAAACTCATATAAACTTTTAGAAGTTACACCTATTATCAATCAGAAACGTCACAGTCCCTGCCAGCATCTCATGTTCTGTTCAACTGTTCTAAGGTATGTTGGGTTACGGGTCAGACTGAAGCCCAAATTCTAGACCTTTACTAGGCTGCCATCCCTATTTTTCAGGTTAGTGGTCAATTTCTGAATTACAGATGTAAAAAAGTATAGATGAGACTGAAATTGAACAATAACACTGAAATTCTATTCTATTCTGTTCTATGACACAGATGTCGTTGCCACTGAAAACATTTTTGAATGTCTTAATTGGTACAAACACAGTTATTCCACCTGATCACCACCAGTCTGTCGTTACATCAAATGCCCTTCACTGATTTTGACCAAGAGCTGATAATAAAGACTGAATAAGTGGAGGTCAGTGTCCATATAGATGAGCTCAGCAAATACTCTTTGTATCCATCAGTTGGGTAAGAGGAACATCATGGAGGAGCTCGTCACATCTGCACACGGTCCACATGATCATGTGCTCATTTGAGGTCAGTGTACGATACAGTTAAAGTCCAGTTCACCAAATTTTACAAACGCCTCAATGTCTGTCCTTGATATCAGTATAAAGTTCAGACATGAAGGCAGGAAGTACACAGGCTGTACGCAGCTAACGTCACATGACCAGTTCTAACCTGGGTGAGGAGAATCAGAATTTGTAAAAATATAAAGTTCCTATTTTCAACATTACACCCCAAAGTGAATTTGTGTTGTTGTTGATAAAACATGAATCATTTGAAAAGTATTTGAACATCTTCCCGTCTCAGTCCTCCTCTAACTCTGAGACACACCAATCAGCATCATCTGATTATTTGACTGAAAATAATCAAGAGATAAAGCTGTGTCTTTGTGTTCTTTCTACTTCATCCAGTATACAGCAAATGAGAGTTTTGTAAAATAATTTTTATGCTGTGAATGTGCCTGCAGTTTATTGCAGAAGACAGGTTTTTTTTTTCTTTTTTTTTTTCTTTTGCAACAGTTAATTCCACGTCTCTAACCGGCCTCTGGGCGTCAGTCAGTGGTTCATGTCATTCTGGCTTCGGCTCAGCCTGACAAGCCTGGTTGCGTTTAACTGAAAACTGACATCACTTCCCAAGGGGAATTTCAAGCCTTTGGTTCACAGTAGTTCTGCCATTTAGAAAGTACTAGAGTGACATGAAGGTAATTACAGGATTAACCGACTGTTCACACATAGTCTGCATACTTTATTCAGCTCTAAATTGTGGATTAGTGTAAAGGAGTAACTCACGTTTGCCGGGTTTGGGAGCTGAACTCTGGCTCTATGTTGTCCACAGTGAAGTGGTTCCTAAAGTCCGACAGCTCCGGGGCCCGTGGCAGGCGCTGTCCGCGGTGCTGAAAGCGCTCAGCGCCTCGTCCTCTCCATTTAGGAAACGGTTCATCGTAGCAGTCAGAGCCAGCATCTAGCCGCACATCCTGCTGCGAACGAAACGGCGAAGCGCCGACCCCGGTGCGCTGGCGGAACTTTGGAGGTGTAAAATGCGCACTGTCCCCGGGCTCCCTGTGCTCCGGAGAGGGCTGAAGACACTCCAGGGTAGCAAGGTAAGGTGGATCCGTGTCTTCCAGCAGCGGAGAGGCTGAGGAGAAGAGGTCCAGGGGCCGCTGAGGGGAAGGAGACCCTCGGTGAAGAAGCACAGGCGGAGGTGGGGAGGGGGACTCGGAGAGATGCGCTTTCTCGCCGCTGTCGCTTTCTTCTCCCTCGTCAGACATGGTAAGAGTTCAACCGCAACATGTATTTCAGGCCGATTTCGTCTGGGTGACATGCATTTGACGAGGTCTTTGTCAAAGTTTCAGCTCCACAAGTTTGCTGCCGACGACCCGAGCATCCACCTTTACATGAGCCCCCTGCGCTAATTGGAGAGCGGCGCGTGTGCGCGCACCGGGAGCCAGCCCTCTACAAAATGGAAGGAAACGCACAAGTGGCAGCAGTACCACAGAATAACTCGGGGCCCCCTCTGCACTGGACAACAAGACTGAGCACACAACTAGAATACAGTTTGGATTGGATTAGTGGTATTTTACATCATGTAAAATTCTTGTAAAAAACAATAAACAGAACATGGCATGCACTCTCTATTTATTATAAAAATACCTATTCTGTATTATATATATATACATATATATATATATATATAAAGTGCATTTTATTGTTGTGGAAACCCCTGATGAGAATGTGAATTTAAATAAAAGCAAAATAGTGTGAAATTAGGGAGGCGCATAAGGAAGAGTTTGGACAACGGAGGAAAAGTAAATATATGGTATAATATAATACATAGTATATAGTATATATGCTAGGTTTGGACATGACGGGGTTAACAGGACCTCCAGCCGTAACTGTGATACAGCTGGAGGTAGAATAAACAATGAATGCTAACAGTAGACTATCAAACAACAGCCATGTGTATATTTAAATAAATAATGGCTGCAGAGCTTTAGCCAAAACTTAGTAAGTTTTAACAGGGTATGAATAAATGGATCATTTGGATCTAACTCTGGTGTGTGTGTGTTTATTTCTGTAATTGAAGACAGAGACCTATTAGTCATGGCAGAGACTTCCTGCACCCCCCCCCAACCCCCATGCAGACAGTAACCAGTCCTAACTAGCTCTTTGATCTGTGCTTGTATTGATGTCTGCAGCACATGCACGACATCAGAAAATATCAAATTAACTCACTTCACACACTCCAGTGGAACTTACATTTAATGGGAAGATTTCTTGGAGATGTTCAAAATAAGATCAACCTTTCAGTTCAAATGTTTTTACGTATGTGCAATGAGAATAGTTCCTACAGTTTGTTCAGTGAAGTGTGACTGTATATACTGTAAAGAGCAAATAATGGCAGTACCTATAGAATTTAAAAATATCTTGAGCTCTGGCCGATTGAATCAGACTGAAAACAACTATTTGTAGCTCACTGGAATAGAACAGCAATAGATACATACACTGAGACAGAGGAGTGGGTGGGTGGGTGGATGGATGGATGATGGATGGATGGATGGATGGATGATGGATGGATGGATGGATACATTTTTCATCCAATACTCTAACCAACAACCTACACAATACTTCATTAGCATTGCAGTGCAATAAAATACAAAGTATGAACTAAACTACCAGATTTTACAAATTACATGAGGAAACATAGTTTTAGCTTCATACAAATGTTGCATTAGTAATCACTAATTCAACATATTGTTAAATATAAATTAAAACGTGTCACAAAGTGCCAATGACTGGCTGATATTTAAATATAGTCTCCCCCAAACTGATTCCAATCATTCCACTTTCTTCACTTCAATAGTTCAAAATTGTCAAACCTACAATGACAAACTTTCCAAGAGTAACACAGTAATTGAAAATACAGTGTTTAATTAATTAGCCTTCTAAGAAATAAAAAGTAAGAAGCCATAAAATATTTTTTACGACTCATTTGCTCATCTTTCCCAGTAGTAGGCTCAAAATGAAAAACTATTGAATTAGACCTGCAGGATTAATTACACATGACTTAAGAACATGCCAGTGCATAAATTGTACAAGGACCTCCTCTAGAACATCTTCGACCTTGGGTGGGAGAACATCTAATGGGAAATACATTATTTAAATTCATTTTTAATTTATGTTGTGTCAGCACAAGGTAAATACATATATTGCGGAAAAGTTATTAGGTTTTTCCTTCACATCGACTCACAATTCTTTAGGAATGAAAACAGGAGCCAGACTTACTTTAAGATATTTTCTTAGATAGTTAGCATACCAGCAATTTAACAAAACAACCGAAGACACAACAACACATTGAAACAATTAGGTGTTTACTACTAAACAATAAGTTTTTGTTTAGAGTTATTCAACCAATATTTGTGCGTATTAATATATTTATGAAAACATGGAAATATCGCACATCAGTTTACGTGAAAAGAAAAGCAGTGAGAGGGCGCAAAAGCTCTGCTCACTTCCTGTTCTGCTGGCTGTTTTAAGAACCTATACAGGCAGTATATTTGCATTTTGAATCTACACAAATAACCTAATTCTAATGGTGAGAACCTACGATTACCTTGAACGATTCAGTTTGCACCTACATGCTGCACACCACCAAACTTCCCACTGGGTGTGTCACCTATATAAGAATGCCAGCTTAGAAATATTAGAAAAACTAAAAATACATGTTTGGATTTTTTTTTGCAAGGGCACTGTTGTTTTAGCTCAAATCTCTCTAGGTTGAATATTTTGTCTTGTTTTCCTCTGTAGCAGGCAGGACTCCTGCTGTGAAATCAAAATGAAGAGATGTAGAAAGAGATACTTGAATGTGCAGCCGTGTTGTTCTGCTCAATGTGAAATGGGTGATAACAAGCTGCCAATATGGTCTGTTCTGTCGCACATATTCTGCCTCTGTTGTTTACGTTGGGTAAAAAGACAGACAGAGACAAATGGAGATGAAAGGAAAACCTGGATCATCTGATTGAGTTACGTCTTAAAAAAGAACAGGGGCTAATGAGGATCACATTAAATGTCACCCTGATTCCATATGTTTCTGCTACAAAAGCGTCTGACGTGATGAAACATGTGGCCACCTTCATGACACTGTCATTAATCATAGAGTGTCATATCTGACAGGATAAGGTCTACAGAACCCGCCCCTGATCGCCGGCAGTAAAGTGGAATTTAAATTTACAGCATCATGAAACATGTTCACACACCGAACGCTTCCGCTTCGCTATCAAAACACAGAAAGGCTTGGCGGAGCTTTTGATTGTTTTCATACATGCAGGCAACTGAGTCTCATGTCCCATCTGTGTCATTACCAACTAACACACCGTATCATCTGGTATAGAAAAATAGAAAAATGAACATTTATCTCATGAAACCCTGCAGCAGAGTCACGTCGCTCTGTTGACAAGCTGCTGCGTCGTTCTGGTTCATTGGTGCCAACTATCAATGACTCTGGAGGAGATGATGACAGAAAATGGCCAGAAATTGGTCTTGGCTCAACATTTCACAGGTTTCTGCCCCCAAATCTCTGGCACTCTGATAATATCCCTCAGAAACAGGGGAGCCCAGAACACACTGGTGTTGGCTGGAAGGTTAAAACAAAAGCCTACTGTATATATTAGCAATGTGAAACTCTGTGGAGAACTACACTAATCCCGAAAAATCTCTTCAGGCCTATTATATTCATGCATGCAAAATCTGGCTACAAAATGTGTGAAGTTTTAGGGCTTAAAAGTAACAGTTTTGTTACCAGATGACGAGGTCCATTTCTTATATAAGCTCCAATCAGGCCTTTTCCAGATTGTGACAACCCGCTGAATGAGGCCTGAAGTGATGCAATGATACCGTCCATCATGTGTAAACAAGGTCGCATCACGACCCGTCTTCATGTCCTATTGATGTCAACGGGCCAATCAGGGTTGAAATGCCGGATGAGGAAGGGCACTAAAGCCAATCACTCACACCCTCCATCGACCTGTTGATAATTTTGTTGGTCACTTGATCAATGACATGTCAGAGCATCAGCGGGTGCAGGACTCCCCTGAGAGAGCAGATGGCAGTGGTGTTCCCCCTACTGGTTTACTTAATTCTCCCTCTCTCCCTCTTGCTCTCTTCTCTCGCTCTCCCTTAATCTCTCCCTTGCTCACTCCTTCTTTATCCCCTACCCAACCATTTAAGCTATCACAGTTGAGATTGTATTAACAGGCAGATGGTAGATCAATACATACTATTCTGTGCCACAGTGGAGGCAGTGAAGTGCAGCTAACTTTTTACTCCAGCTTCTCACTGCGGTTTGATGAAAGAGTGGTGATGGAGGATTTGATGAGCTATTCTGCCACTGGGTGTGTATTGAAAATAGCTGTGTGAATGCATTCACACACGTGAAGTCGAGTGCAGATGTTTAATTCACAGATTAAATCACTGCATCATCAGCCTGCACAAAACCCAACTTTTCTGAACGCTCAGATTCAGCAGAAAGACTTGATGTGGTCTGAGTTGATGACGCAGCACTTTCAGATTAACTGGAATTCATACACATCTGTCCTTGCCTGAGTCCCTGCAACACACCCTTGACCCACGACTTTACATTATGATGTGATTTTGAGTGGTTCGTGCCCCGCTCTGTGTTTTGCTGCAGCATATATACATCAGAGTCTTGTCCTTGAATGGGCACATGAGAAAATTCAGATGAACTGAAAAAGCAATGAAGGTAGGAACACATGTGCAGCCATCCTTGTGAAAGAAATTTTTCAGCTGCCCCCAGAGGCCCTCAGGTCAAATGACAACTACTGCCATCCCCCGCTTCAATCAATACATGCTCAGGTGTGTGGCACACGATGATGACATTCAACTGAAAGTGGCTATTTTTCTTCACATCCATGTCTATAGATTGACAATGAACAGACATGGGAGGTTTCTGGTCACGGTCCCTCGGCCGCCCTCATGCCTTTGGGGAACGCTCTGGTACTGATGCTCACAAATTTTCTCTGATATTGCCACGTTCGTTACTACAGTTTTCATCTACAGTCTACATTCTTTTTCTAACCAAAAGTTTTTTTTTTCGTGTTTTTTGTACTGTACTGTACTGTACAGTACTGTGATGTACTTGTGCAAGTATAGTATATGGACAACAGTAAATGAAGCTTCTTCTAAAATAACACCCCTCTATATTTCACATTATTGACCTTTAAATAAATCACAGAAAATGTTAAATATATTCCTCCTAAAAATGAAAACACCAAACAAAAAACATATTTTAAACAAACGGTGATGAACGAGAAAAATCTACAGGCTGTGGCCTTGACACACACACACACATTCACAGAAACTTTGCCACTTTTCCACTTAAAGCCCACCCACTGTGACAGCGAGCCTGTGTGTGAACTGTTCATTTACTCCACTCTTTATATTTGTTTCTCTGTTAAAGTGAAAACTGAGGACAGCACACGGTCGTGACTTGTGTTACAAGCAAGTGAGTACTTTTCCACGACTTATATCAATGAAAACACTTATCAGTAAAAATACTGGTACTGTCAAGAATAACGATAATTATAGCCATAACGATTATAATGATAATAAATAATACCGTACAATGCCTTGAACATAATTTGTATTGACACCCAGTATTCTGTAGTTTATGAACTCCAGAGTTGAAAGACAGCTCGTTACACTGCAGCTCCAATTATAACTTTTCCTGCTAAGCTGCTGTGTCCATGGGTTTAATATAGAAGCCAATTACTCACTTAAGGCATTAATTTCAGCGTCTCACACAGTCATACCTATCATATCTGTTATAGATGCTGCTGCTCACCACCACACAATTTAAATGCATCAGCACAGTAACAGTTGTCTGCTGGGCTATTATTCTTTGAAGACATTCCCCCGCACCCTCACCCGCACACCTCCCCCCCTCCTTCCCTCCCCCCACACACACAAATGCTAAGCTTCAATAATCACACTCGCAGACACAGCAGTTCAAATGAAACGCTGTGCTGCTACTGTCTACCGTTCAGAGTACAGAAAGCAACTTTTCATGATTGCTTTAATTCAAATACCGTGTCTAGGTTGTTTTTTCTTTACCCCAAGGCTTTAGAATGAAGAGAAATGTAAGTTGTCAGTATCAGCTAATGACTGTGGCAGCAGCCTGAGGCATCAAATAGAAGACAGGGTGAGAACGCTTGATAATGAAATAGTACATGTAAACTCAAACCAAAACTATGGAGCATAGAGGAAGATGATAAACCCATGAACTACAGGCTGTGTCTGAGCAGGTCTGGTGTAACAGCATCTGAACTGTTTTAATTTCCCTGAAAACACAAGTGTGATTGCTGCCACTCAGTGACTCAGTCTAATTACTAGGTATTTTATTCACTCACCGCCGCACTTGTCTGCCTCATGCTGAGATTTCATTCAGTTATCTGATTCGAGTGGGCCATAAACTGTCATTCCTCGTGAATTAAAGAAGTCATTCTGAGAAAAGAAAATAAAAAACAAGATTTAAAACAATTACAAAGTCACAGTGCTGAGTCTGCAATCACTTTATTGGAAGGCTGAAAATTGTGTTTTGAAGATTTTTTATTTGTCTCGATATTCCGTGAGTAAAGATAAGTTCAAATCTGTCAAAAGTTGAGTTATTTTAAGTCTGAACACTCTCTATTGTGAAGACAAATTATTTTAATTTTTTTACCCACAAAAAGAAAACTATGTTGGTTACAATACTGATGTCAAAATGATGTAATCATTACTGCAATGTGTCTGTCAGTTATGACACATTTAATCGATGTGATATACAGACTAAGATGAATGGAACAATATTGTCCTCTCTGCTGGAAATAAAAGTATTGTTGTTGTGTTCATTTGAAAGGAACTTGGTGTCAGACCAGTGGTCACCAACCTTTTTTGGCTTGTGATCACAGTCATTTTACTGGAGATTTCAGGACCCAAATGAATTCCAGGTGATCCCACACAGGATTGCGACCCCTATGTTGAAAAACACGTTTAGACATTGTGTTTGTTGTTTTTATAAATGTTTTTTTTAACAATTTTCCTTACCTTTTTGACATCCAGACCATAGAAAACTGTTGCCACTGATGGTGCAGCTGTACAAACTGATGATGCATTAAAGGTACTTTAATGCATACACCATATATAAAAACTAGGGCTGACAAAATAAAGGCATTAATCCAGGATAATTAGTTTGTGAAATTAATCAGATTCAAGTTTGTAACACATGTACAGTATCACCTCTTGTTGTTCTAATACACAGCCAATTCACATGCTATTGTTAACATATACTACACCTAAATGTATTCAGTGCTGCTCATAGATGCATTTTAAAATATCAATTAAACTCAACGATGGGGCGTGTCTTGTAGGGCTTAATAACCAATAAGGGCTGTACTGCTGTAGTATCTTTATCCCAAATGCTGAAGTTCTGGTTCCATTAAATATAAATTTTCAATTAAAAATCTACTAATTCTCCCCAGTGTTTTCAACAATCCTGACGTTTAAATTCACTTTTCCACTCCATCCACAGAGTCACTTCTGTTCAGTTTCGCCCCGGTTGCACTGATGTTTCCCCTCTTCATTTTATCTTAACAAGAAGATTTTGAAAAGTCTCTGCGACTGAGCCCTTTTGGCCGGCACTTCACTGTAAGTGAAGGATATGAAGTGTACTGACTGGATGAGTCCGAAAAGTTTGTACTGCAAGCACTTGTCTTGTTAAAGGTCCGAGCACCAACGCTGAAGGCTACTTCCACTCCGTTCAAGGTATTTTTTAACCAAAGTAAACAACGGCACCATCAAACACAACACGGTTAAATCCTTTAGCTTTAGCTCAGTGCTGATACTGTGTTCAAAAGGATTATGTGTGAGCCTGCGTGTGTGTGTTTGTGTGAGTACTAAGTCCACTGAAGTTGTAGAACAAAAGTGATGAGCTGACACCAATTAGCAAGTTGTTGCTGTTGGAAGAAACCCTGGCATCGACAGACTTCTGGAAACAGAAGATACAAGTTAGGTCAGAGTTCTGTGGAATCCAAAACAGTCAGATTTGTAAAACAGTCAGACTTGTTAAAGGTTGTAAAAGGTAGGAGGAAACCGTAAGGATTTTAAAAAAAAAAAAAAAAAAAAAGGTAGGAGGAAACCATAAGGATTTCACCTACTTGATGAATATACTTGCCTCAAATCATCTCAGCCAGAAATGTGCACACAGCATGGGTTTACTTCAAGGACACATGTTATGCAAAAGTGACTCTGTCAGGATTTTGGTGCTGACTACTCTTTAAGATCTGATTTTGACAAACTACGATTGGCAAAGAAATTCTGAAAATATGTCTCAAAGGGAAGCACTGAGATTACAATAAATATGCCATGACCAATTCATTTAGACATTGAGGAACCATATTAACTTATCAATCACTTGTCCAACATGTCTAATGGTTGCCATAGGTTAAAGAGTTAGCAACATATAAAGTGGGCTGAGACCAAACACAGAGAGAGATGAGAGATTCAGACTCAGAAAACCCTATACTGTACAATCAGGGCAGGATATTAAGGCCAACAGAAGATAATTATAAATACAAAATGAAAAGAAAAATATGATTCTGACTGACAGGCAAATCTTAACTGAGTATCTTTTCTGAAGTCGAAATAAAACTAAGAAACTGTGTTTCAGTTACATTCGTACAGAAACTGTAGGCTGCCAGACATGGCCCTGTGCCTTTGTGTTGTTGATGTATTATTTAAAGAGCATTAACGTAGTCTGACTTTGGTATCTCAAATCCAATGTGCACTGCCAAGGCGTCACAGTCAGAGCTGTGATGAAATAAGATGCATCTCTGACATGAACAGTGACAAATGTATGTTTTTTTAAAAGTAGTGAAATGTAAGGTAACTGTCCTACAGAAAGAAAGTTTCAATTTCATGGATTTTTCTTTGAAAGGAAAACAAGAGCTCTGTGTGTTTGTGTGTTTGTGTGTGTTTCCCCTTGCAGACCAGTGCTTGTGCAAATAATTGGGCTTGTTTGCTCATCCATTAAATCAGGCAGGACTCGTCTCTCCACACAACTGATGGAATATATAAAGCAGAGAAAAACACAAACATAAATATTTAAAACAGGGTGAGAAAAAAATTCAAGACGGAAAAAAAACTACAAATCCCAGCACTAAACGTTATGATCGTCTGCATAGAAAAGTCCATATAGATGGTCTGGAAAAACAGATTAATCAGAATATTGGGAAAGGTTTGGTCGTAAAAGACTTATTTAACCTCATTGTTTCGGTGAATTTATTCCAGCAACAAGACAAACCTCTGGACAGATGAATAATTAAATATGTTTTCTGATGTAATAGAAGTGGACTGGCTGCTCCCAGGTGTAATCACATCTCATTTACTTCTCTCTGATCATCTGCTTCCTTTTGTCAATTCTATTTTCCTCTATGGCAGTGGTTCTTGTACAAACAAGCTCTGAGCCCCACACTGTACTGATGATTTCACACTCTGCAAAGTTTTATATAATGAAACACAAACTTTTAAACAGCAAAAAAAGGGCAGCACTTTACAATGCTTCAATGCCATCAGTGTGTAAAATAAAACTATATTCCTAGGATCAACATGGCCTTTTAAATCACAAGTCTCAGCTTTGATGACTTTTGTCCTTGTCTAATATTGAGCTCTGTTACAGAAAAGGAAAAACTGTTTTTTTTTTTTAATTTTCCCCAAACTAAATTGACATTTGACATTTGTTCTGAGCAACATCAGGCGTCATGACACTAAAGAGCAATGCAGATGTGATGTCCTCTTTAAAACTGCTAAGGGAAAATATAGAGGACAAATGAGCAGGACCAAGGGCAACTGTGGTACTGCTTCAGAACCACAGGTGTGGCAGAGGAGTGGTGGAAAGTGGTGGAAGACATGACGTGCATGGGTGTGTCACATCATTATTATTTTATAAAAATTTTAAAGGTGTTCCATTTTAATACCTTATGCTTACCTATGCTTTACAGATCTGCCTTACACACAGAAGGTCCTGGGTTTGAGCCCCATAGGAACCTCATACTTAATGGTAGCTGTGTGGGTTGCAAAGACTCTGATACTGTGAAATTCCAAATTGTAGGCTGAATAAGATAAGATTTGTTCAGTAACAGTCATTGTTATTATAATAAATTCTCAGTAGAGAATGCTTCTGGATAAAGCTGATAATAGGTGTTACATAAACAGTCCCTCAATCCTTACAACTTCAATATGTGACCACCCGCCCTTTGGAAATTAACGCTTCACTACAACATTGGAGGAGCAGAATGTGCCAGGCTACAATTGACAGCACATTACTCTGAAATAAATCGGAAAACTCACCCTTTCATTCCTACCGTTTCACTCTCCCTCTTTATCACAATTTCCCATCTCCTATAATTAAATTACTTTTTCCAGGGTTTCTTGGGAATGAGATCCTCTCCTACATTGTTAGTAATTCGGTTTAGCACATTTACAGTTAATGCAATTCAAGACTGGAAACGGCGTGGAAAGTGACTAAGACTAAGATGCAGATTACATCCGAAAGACTTCAAACAATGGGTGTCCACAAAAGAGAGAGAGGGGTTGTGGTGGTGAGTTATTTGTGAAAGGTTATTCTCTCCCCACAATCAAACACAGGCGACGATATGAGAACGTGCCTGAGAATTCCCCGGCTTATCTGTTTTCTGCACCAAGCAGCCACTTTTCATGGCACATTGTTTCTCTCCCTGTTTTTCCTCTGTCTCACTATCTCTTCATGTCTCTCTGCCTCATGCATCCCACTGACAGACTCTTATCAGAGGCATTCAGTGACACTTCACTTCATCTGCAAATCCAACAATGGCAATAGGAAGTTAAAAAAAATACTGTATTTGGTTAGTGTGGCTGCGAGCACTTCAATGTAATTACTTTCACTGTGTGTAACATTTAACATCCCCAAGGACTTTTAAAATGAAATCTACCAAGAAACACATAGATGTATATATGTACACACTCAAAGCACTTTAGACGTACTTGAGAAAGTGCAAGACCCAGAAAAGATTGAAATTTTAATTGTTTTCTCAAACACCTGGACTGCCACAAATGGAAGCAATCAGTCAGAAGGAGTGAAATTAAACTAACCCTCAGAATACATTTTCAACTCTACAGAAATCCATGCACGAATACAGTTTATTATACCTACAACCGTGAGACACAGACTTACAGGGACAGGAAAAGACAAGCGACACAAAGCAGGTTTTGAAATTATCCACCCATTACCCCTCCCTGACACCCCCCACACCCACAGTGTAAATTAAACTCTCACGTCATTTAAGTTCTCATGAAATCTTTCGTAAGTGATCTAAGATCAGAGAAGGTCGTATAAAAGTACTTAGAAAAATGATAACATTTGTCAATGTTTAACAAATTGCTCTTGGCGATGATTAGAAAAGTCACTACAACATAAATCACTGTGGGGAAAAAGGCCCCAATAATTAATCTAAATATACTACTTCTCCACTTTAAACTGTTGGAAGTTCTACGTCTCACAGAGACAACCTTGGGTAAGGAGTCTTTTTGTCTGTGAGATAAATCCCACATAATCCAACAGACAAGGTGTCCTTTCTTCCCTCCCTCCTTTCCTCCTTCCTTCCTTTCACAATTTAAAACAGATTCATGATTTAACACTCAACACTACTTGGTTTACCAAGGACAAACTGGTTCTGACCCTGCACTGCACTAAATAACAGAGCTGATGTACTGCATTTTTATTTTATAATTAATACTATTCTCTGTCAGCAAAAAAAAAGTAGTTACTTTGAAGAGGTGCGACAGGAATTCATTCCTTATTTACATGATTATTTAACTGTGTTAATACCTATTTTACACAGTAGAGTCATGTCTCACATCTGTTTGAACATGACAAGTCATTATGCAGAGGTGACAGTAAACACGTCATGTGAACAACATCGGCTCATTTGTCTCCCGAATCATTTGCTTGTTCCCTGTTTTGATTTATTGTCTTGCTCTGGTATTATTCTCAATAATATAAACTGTGTCTGGCCTTCACCTCGCTTTGTCTAACAGCCCTGGTAAATAAATGAAACAATGTTAAAGAGAATACAAAAGTAAATTAATTCCATATCCCTCCAGCTGAGGCAGGAAATTAGGTCTTTGTCTTGATTCAGTCTGTGAGCGTCAGCCTTTTCATTACACGTACAATAGTTTACCTTCGGTTTTAACTCACACTGTTACCTGTGGCAATAGCCGTTAGCTTGGCGGCTAAGCTTTCCTTTTGAACATAGGAAAAGAAACCCAATCTACAGTAGGTGAGAAGAGTTGGATCTGTGTGACATCACTTTATCCTCTAATTAACCGGTTCTATATTCACTTTGTCTCTTTAATTAAAACAGATGAAACGACGTTTCCCTCCGTCATTGAGCTCTTTCTTTTAATGCTCTAAGGATGGACTCCATTCACACAAACCAGTCAAACTGACAGACAACTGACACATCAGAAAAACAGCAGAAGCTCATTTTATGCCCGGTTATTTAAATCCAAATTCTGGTGTTTTTGATAAGAGTGGACATTTATTTAAATAAAAATAAAATTGCTGCTCATTGATTCTCAGTGGAGCCCAGCTTTTATCTAAGTGAAAATATAAAGTCTTTGATACTGTGGCCAGTGGTTCCCAAACTGGGGGGTGGGTGTGTGGGCAGAAAGCATGGAGCTGAATCGTGTCCAATAAAAATGAAAATGACAGAACTGAAGGTAGGTCATATGTTACTGATGCCATTGACAAGTAAATCAATGGTGAGTCAATGGTAGTATTATGTGTGTGTGAGTGTGTGTCTAAATAACATATTGATTAGTTTGGGAGAAAAATTGTAACAATTTACTGAATAAATAAACACTGAAGCACAGAGATGTCAAATTAAGACCCAAGACACAAACAAACCTCAATAATGTTATTCATTTACAGCCTCCCTTTTCAAATAGTGGCCCGTGGACCCCCTCCAGCCCAGGGCATGACCACAGAGTGGCCCAGTTGGGGCTATTCAAAGACATGGAGACAAACTGAGAGAATCACAACTGGTGAGCAATTCAAAGTTTGTAAAATAGAATCAACTGTGAATGCTACACTTTTCATAGACTTTGATAGAGTTGAGATTATTTAATATTTCAGAAATCAGTGTTGTCTCTGTATGCAGATTTTCAGCATCTCCACTGAGTCGTCAGCGGAGCCGATGGGATCGGTCTATGCAAACAGACCATAATATAACATTCAGAGTATTTGTGCTGACTAATGAGAGTGTATTTGCCCACAGTTAATTAAATTTGTCAAGCTTGGTCTCCAGACTTAATAAATATAATAATGCGTTGAGTGGTATTAGGAAACCATCATTTCTCGCTTGTGTGGACTTCCCCTCTAATCTGGCTCTGGCCTTCAGAAAGACAGGACAAGGACGCAAGAGAGGCAGTAGGGGAGAGAAAAATGGGAGGACAGAAAGGAGGAGACGATGGGGGCGAGGAATTAGGGGAAGAGGGAGGAAGACGCAATCACTTGCTGTATCTTGTCGCCCTTCCAATCTTATTTTCAGCTAGAGTTATTTTTCATTAGCGCTCATCACAGGCTTTTGATTTGCAGTCACTCACAACCTGTTCCTTTTTCTTCCCCCATTTCTTTTCATCACCATGCAAATTAAATTCAAATACAGATGCTAACTTTATATCACATCTGCCTTTTTTCATTTACTTCTCTGAATTCTGGCACCAAATTTAGTCACTTATAAAAGACGAGCCATCAGTTTGTAGATTAAAAAGGAGTGTGTGAAAATGTGTAAGGCGTTAATAGACAACAGACAGGCAGCTGCAGAGTTTATACACACACACACACACAGTGAGTTGTCATAGCGTGTGTGACAGGGAACATGCAAAAGGACAAAAAAGTAATTATGATCATCCATAGTGATTAATGACGATACACGAGTTCATAATGCAGTACCAGTACAAGTGCTGCAGTCACTACACAGTACAACTCTCTCACTGCGTCAACAACGTTGTAATTTATTTCTTGTATCCATTACTGCTACATTTCCATTGTATCTAATAAAAAAATCAAAGTAATAGAAATGCTGAAAGTAAACATAGACATATTCTCTGAAACAACACACTCAGAACTGTGTGACTGACAAGTTCATTACTCCAACATGTACTGTATACTTGCACTGATTTGTTCCTTCACACCAAAGCAAAGTTTTCTGTAAAGGCTCCAAAATATGTTGAAGCAGCATAGTATAGCAGCACTATCACTATTGGTGATCTGCAACGTAATCGTATGGTTTTTGTGTTTGCCATCAAATAACACTGTAACAACAAAGAACACTGTGGAGCTAAACATATACTGTATATGTGCAGCTATGGAGCAGTAGGGCTGGTATCAGTGTCTGCTAGCTACACTGCTAACAGCTACATGATGTTTATTGTTTTTCTCTCACTGTTTGTCTTTCCACTCCTCCATCCCTCATTCAAATCAGGATACTATGAACATATGAGTTAAGACAAAAATGTTTAAATATTGCATCATGCATTCTAGATGACTAAAATATTTTTGATAATTTGTCAACTAAAACTAAACCAAAGCCAAAACTCCCAATTTACACTAGGACAAGGACTAAGTTACGAGTATGTCAAAAGAGTGAGAGTGAGAATAAGTCAAGAAGGTTGTTAACGTTAAAACTGTAGAAATATCTGACACATCATGCATTAGCCCTGGTGCTACTGCAAGAAAATTTGTTTTTTTCTGCAGTTTCCTTACACAGCAGATGTACTTTTGAGAACTTTGTCAGCTGCACTACTGCAAAATTTATGAAGAAGAATCCACAGCATGCTGTTCACTGTACGTCAAAGAAACAACTCAGTTTTTGCTTTGTTGGTCTGTGAGTTTACTTCATTACATTTCTTGATAAAAATGATTTGGTCGAGGTTGAGATTGTTTCATAAAATAATGCCTGCAGAAAAAACACAGATCCAATGATGTGCTGCGTCACTGAAGGCAGAACAAGCTTTTACATCACCTTTCTGAGTCTAGAGTGTCGACCGCAGGCACACGCAGCTGTACTGCGGACTAAATCTGAAGTTAGCTGGCAGCCACGATTCATTTTAGCATGAAGAATCTTCAAATATGAATGGGAAATTGGTCTGAGTTGTGCAAACAAAGCGAGACTGTGCCTATATTAAAAAAGTGTTTATGGATTTGACAAACGTTGTCTGTAACCAGCAACACAAAGACAAAGATTAACCAGGGTGACGTCTGTATGAAGAGTCAATCAGTGACCGCAACTATTGTGTTTGTCCTTTGTGTGGGATTCTCCTAATCGCAAAACACACACACACACACACACACACACACACACACACACACACACACGGGTTGGCTGTTTATTATGAGCATCTGTTCTTTACCACTGACAATGGAGAAAATGAATGAATTTGAATGAGGATGACTAACACTGTGACAGTTGTGATAAACAAACAAACTAGAAGCTACTAGCCCAACTGCTAATTTTCATTGAACATGGGGCAAAAATGGCATTTACATGGAGGCAAAAAACCTGATTTCTCCATTAACACATGTTGAGAATGAAAAATTCCAATTAATGCTAAAGTACAACCCATTTCACACAAGGTATTTAACACAAACAGTAAGCCTCTGAAACAAAAGGAAACAAAACAAAACAAAAAAAGAGATTTTTGTGCATGAAAAACAAATATACTGCTTACCGTAAATTGTACACAGGCAAATCCGCAGGCCTCCACTTGAGACAGAGGAGAGAATCTCATATAGCGGAACAGAGAGGGGGATGCATCACTGTACAGCACCTTAAATATCTGATCTGCAGGAGCTACACACAAAGAGGAGAGAAGAGAGAAAAACCATTGGTTTACATTTATAGACTGTTAAATATGAAAACTTATGACTTGCATTAAAGAAACGTCCATTACAGTGAAACTCCGAGGCAAAGTGATGCAATATTTTCCCGGCTTGTCATAAATAAATAACGTCCAAACAGCCTGTCTGCCAGTGTGATTGGGTTGATAACCTCATCATTCACTCGCAGGAAATGGAGTGAATCTACAAAGGCTGAGGAAACACAAACAGCTGACGTTTACAGCAACAGCAAGCCACACTCTGCCTGGTACCAAGATTATAGTCAGGAAAGCACCTTCACCTATATTACCCTCATCATCATGCATTATGGAAAAGCTATAAGATACGCACACATGTAGGGTGAGAGCACACAGCGACACACAGCTATTATGATCTGCACGTGTACATAACGAGCCTGAGGAGAAATGTAACAGCTGATTAACCAGCCATCAGGCCCGTAAAGACCTACGGCTAATTTATGACAGCTATCATCACCTTCACGTAGACAACACACACACACACCACAAACACATCTGCTTCCTGCATCAATCTTTCTCATAACAACATCAACAACATCAGCTGCCAAAAGGAAGATTAGCCAAACGTTGGAAAGTTGTTTACTGTCAGACAGCAGTGAAATCTGAAAGTGAACCTCACAAAGTCAAGATTCATGAGGGACATCTATGTTTACATGTCAGGTCTGCATGTCAGCACTGGAGCACAAACCCTAACCACTAACTAACCGTATCTACAGCTCAGAAAAACATCTACTACCATGGGCATAAACAACTATATATTTATATTTATAAACAATATTTATATATTTATATTTATAAACAACTATATATTTATATATATATGTATATACAGTATATATATATATATATATATATTGTATATATATATATATATATATATATAAAAATATATATATATATATATATATACAATATATATATATATATATATATATTGTATATATATATATATATATATATATCCTATAAATACAATCAAACTATTATGGTACAATTAAGTATTAACTTTCGGAGCAAACGAGTGATTTCCAAAAGTGTTAATCAGGTCACATCCCACAGAGCACTGTCATGACAACAATCTTACAAAGCCCAGCAGGATTTATCAGCGTGCAGTTATGATTAGATGTGGGTCAGAGATTTTGCTATTTGATGGATTCTTTGGTTAAAAATCCAAAACAGTCCATGGCTTTTAGTTCAGCATCTATTATGCCATTATCAACCCGCTGATAGGCAGACGAAGCTGTCAAAGTTACAGTAGTTTCAGGAAAACCTTCGTTCATTTTCTACCACTACATATTTTTGAAGGTCGAGGCAGGAGCTGAAGTCAAAGTCAAGTTACGATTGGTCGAGGGTCAGTCCAACACTGGGGCTCATACTGTACATGCATACATGGTAGTCTCAGGAGGGGTGGGGTACTGATCAGAACAGGCTTGAGAATAGTGACATCACATGTCTCAACCAACCAACTAACCAATGAGAGAATTAGGGTTGAGCCTGAGGCTACTACAGAACTAAAAAAAAAAAAGGCACAAAATTTTCATACAAATATAATTTCAAATATCCAGATGGCAAAGCTGATTAAGTCAAAGTTATTTTATCCACACAGTAACATGTATTCTGGGAAGTACAAATGACCTTGGTATTAAATTCAATATATTCAACTGTTTGTATTTTACCCACAAATGTTTCCTAACTTTGTTCGGAATAACTTTTGCTTTACTTCAAATACTATTTTATACGGGTGCACAGGTGTAGGTACCAGTAACAGCTGGTTAAAGTACATTTTGGATTGAAGTTTTATTAGCTGGAAATATTTCAGTCAGCTGCACCAATACTGTGGGGAGGTTCAGGCCAAAGTACATGAACATCAGTGAGCACCTGCTGCTGCGACAGAACCTCATTAATGACTTTAATGGAGGATGTGAATGAGCGTCGCTACATTAGCAGCATTTTCTGCTCCAGTAGTATAACATCCAGTCATCAATTAAAGAAATGTTTCTAAACTGAATCGCTCCTCAAACAGGGAGACCAGTGAGATGACCGCCGGTCCCCCCAATAATTTTTTTCTTGCCTCTCCTTCCTGACCTTTACAAAGGAGACACAAACACTCCCTCAGGAAACATGGATTTGTTTCTCCTTAATGGCAACATTTCACAGGGATGAATGGGATACTGTAAAAGTGGGTGATGCCCATGTAAGACAAATTGTTTAAATCTCCCCCGCTTGGCCACAAACAGGCGGTAAAAAGAAAAAAAGAGAAGAAAAAAATGTGATGTTTTGTCCCTCTCAGAGGAAACGGGCAATAACAGGAATAAAGAGATTCCGGTCACACACAGTCCCCCGGTGAAGGCATGCATGTTTTCAATTTGACATGGCAGCTGCAGCACAGTTTCCTCTGAGCTGAAAAATATAAACAAGCAGAAGAAGCAAATAAACCAAATGAGGTTTGAATTCTGTAAAAATGACGCGGTGTCCTCTATTTCAGCGGTCCCCAAACTTTTTTGCGCCACGGACCGGTTAAATGTCTGAAATGTTTTTCACGGACCTTTACGGTGTGGCGGATAAATACAACTAAATAAAATGATACGACCGGCATATAAACGAACTAAATAAAATTATACGACCGGCATATAAACGGGTATTTTTTAAATATAACAATAAACGTTAAGCCACTGTGTATGCAACTTAATTACCAGCGTCCTCATAACTTTGCGCTTGTCTTTATTGCAGAACTCTTGGTCTCCAAATGACGAAGCCGTTTTTAAGGCTTCATTGCCTCATTAGAAAGCCGCCACTCACTGCGTATTATGCAGCGCAGCCTTGGTGTGTGTGAACAACCTGTCCCAATAAATCCATATTTCAAGTAGGACTCGTGGAATTGTCTGTAAAATGCAGCTTTATTTTTCTTTGAAGACGTAGGCTCTTCTTCTGTCTCCTCATTGGCTCTTTACTCTGCGCAAAAAAGACGTTTGTTTTGTTTTTGTTTTTAGTTTTAGTTTTAGTTTTTAGTTTTAGTTTTAGTTTTGGTTTAGGTTTTGGTTTTGGTTTTTGTTCATTTTGTTAGGTTTGAGGTTTTAATTTTGCGAAAATGTATTATGTGTTCCCGGCCGGAGCAGACCCTTTAAGAAGGTAGCGGATGTAGGTAAGACATGTGACATATAGGTTGAAGGGAATCTGGCCATTTTTCAAAATAAAACAATATAAAATAAAAATACAACAATTATTAAGAATGAAAATCACATATACAGTAATATTTTTCATTAGAGTACAATGTGATGCATTGACAGTCAAAAACAGTACAAATCGAAAATAGTTTGTGTTTTTCAACAGAAAATTGGAACATTTTCATTTAGCTTTGGCAGAGAGCAGCTTTTCAAAGGGAAACAGAAAAGTGCTTTCTCTTCTGACACTAGGAGCAGAGAAACACTGGTACAGTATGTTCATACACATGGGAATAGCTGCTACAGAAGAAAAAGAATATTAGATAGCTTAGGTCCCAACCTGACAATGTATAATTCACTGTTTACTTACTGATACAGTACAGGTAGCCTTTTCTCATACTTGTTCAAAAGCAGGAAAATGTGTTTTTATATCTAATTTTTGTCTGGCTGAAGTCTGCCTCAGTATATGTATATATATGTATATATCTGATTATATTTTAAGGCCGTTTTCTGATATATACAATTTCGGGTCACATTTGTTGCAAGGATTAATCTATTTCTGCATTAACTTTTCATTTTTACATTTTGTGGTGTACAGCTTACATATTTTCTACTTTTGGGTTCACTTTTTAACTTATGGCTAAGTTTATACCTATTTGACAAGTTTTAGCAATATTTCTTGTTCACTAGGTTTTTTATTATTAGTATGCCCCTTAGACTTTCTTTTAATTACAACAAACTTAATATTTTAATCTGAAATATTAACTAATTTTGGGAAGATGGGTTGGTAATACACATTTGGGAAATAAAAATGTCTAATAACTATATCTGTGTGTTAGCCAAAGACAGATCATCTACACAGGGGGAGCTGTTTGTCACATCATCGACCCTGGGTTTAATGTATGACTTCCCCTTATAGTCATTTATTGTTCACAGGGTCGATTGATTAGGTGACCGTTTCTGTCACTATCACTGACAAAAGACCGTCGTACTGTTGGCGACAGTGAAGAACCACAAACCTACTATATAAGACATATACGTACGTAAATATAAGGGCTGTCAGACACAGCCCTTCCAGTTTATATTCTAGAAAGTCAAAGAGTAGCTGCCAATTAATCACGATTAATTGTGACCAACTGAGATAGAAAGACATTTCTAATTGTTTTTCTGTATATTATTTCACACCTGTTTTAATTTGTGGAAAATCATAATTTTGGAATAATAGAAAGATTGAGATGATGTTATAAGCTTGTGGTGCTTTAGTGGAACGAAAATGTTTTCCCACAGTGCGTGTAAATAACATGTATAGCAGCAACAACAGGTGGATGACGGGTTGCATTATTGTCTGTGCAAGTATTTAAATCTGTATCTCATTCATTTCACAAATCAATAATTACAATCAACTTATTGATTTTAAATATAAATGACCCTTTAAGTAGTACAATGGAGAAGAAGCCGTAACTGGAGCGAGGTTGAAAACAAGGTCATCAACGGGGTCACGACACCTCTTACTACAACTCTCCTGTTAATGACTATACTGTCACAGGCTGATGGGGGATTAGACTGTGTCCTCTTTTCATTTCAATGAATCACTCATCGACCATCCTGGCATTTCTGGTGTTAACCTGATGATACACAGAGCAGTACCCAGAATTCCCAGCCTCAGTTTTATTTACATTGACACTAGTCTTTTCTATCGTCTCTCGCTATCATCAATTAATTCCTGATTCATGACTTTGTCTGTGAAGTATTATCTCGGCAGCCCTTACGCAGTAATTTGTCCTCCTTTCACCCTCCAGTTATTTGTCTCTCTTCCTGCTACTCACCTAGCTTTCTGACAATATCAGGCCGCTGGGGCTAGATAAGTGTGGCAGTAGAGATAAGAAGCCAGAGGAGAGGGAACGATGGAATCTGTCTTCATCTCCTCAACCTGTGACAGCATTTCTGATCCAGTAGATGTGATCAGCTCTACTGATGTACAGAACAGCAGGTCTGCTATCTCTGATCTACGAAGGACAGAACAGCCCTTCCACAAACGCTGACGGCCGTCCTTCACTTTGGGATCTTTAACCGTGACAAGTGACGGGGTGGATGAGGATGGACACAGTTGAAGGTGAAGAAGTGTTTGCTTATCATTCACAAACCCTAAATTCCAACCTTAGCCTGCAGGGTGAGCCATTGTTCAAATGTCCCAATCAAGTATGTATACAGTTAGGGAGAGAGCAGCTTAGCTAGCAGTCACTGAGTAGTAGCCCCCTATGGTGAAAACAAGGCAAGATTTTGACTTCTGAGCTCCATCATTTGGTAAAGCTGTACACCAACAACCGTGCGACATAATGCCAATAGAACCCAATGGAAACCCAGCAACTGTATTGCATTGTGACTGTTATGTTACTTATGTTCCATTACTATTGGTGGCCAGCAGGAACCTGCTCCAACACACCCTAGCTTCTCAATATCCAATCCAAAACTACCATCTTCCCTAGAAGAACTAAGTCTTTTTTTTATTTTTTATTTTGAACATTTTTTTTTTCCCTCAAACTTGAAAGAAAGTAATACTTCTAGTCAGTCTCTCTTGGCAACAACTTTTTTCCTACTTTTCTTTTGGGTGACCTGAGGGCATACTGGTTTTCTTTATTATTGTTTTTTGTTGTACAGTTTCGAGGGTGTGAGGAACTTTCGGATCCCACACTGACGGCTTTGTTTGTTTCCTGAAACACACTGACAACAATTTTGTTTCTTCTTCCTGCTCCAAGATCTTTGCTTTTAAAGATGTCACTCTGTTCATTTGGTCTTCACACCACAAAGACACTGTCGTATACAATACTCCATTCACTGGCACTATCACTCTGACCAGGAACCATTTTCAGCTAATGTTCCAGATTTTATTTTACGGTTTCTGTCACATGACTCACACTACGACATCATTCTTTGAACGATTTCTCTTCGTCTCTGCAGTGAGACCATACGTCACACAGTTTCCTTCTCAATGCCCCGATCCATATTTGAGGACAGGAGGTCAATAATCGCATCTTAAACAAAACTTTTTGAAAGCCAGTGATCCTCCATCAGATTGCCAATAATTCTTTTCATCAGTAACAATACTCTGTCTTTCAAATTCTGCAAGAAAAAAAAAAATTCATCTAATTCTCGTATGTCACCCTTTGTTCTGATGACCTCCCTCAGCAGGGCCTTTTAGATGCTCCACTGAACTCAACGCCGCTGCACTACCAGATTGGCTCCCCTGCCAATCTCAACATGAGTCGGCTCTTTTGAACCATTGTGTTTTTCCAGTCTTCCTTTATTTGTATTTTTTTACCATATAACGGTTTTTTATATCAGTTTTTACAGAGCGATTTTATCCACAGTTCTGAACTTGTTCTCAGTGGGGATTTAATCACTGATGAGAATGAGAAATAGTATTTTTATCAAACAGCTGTGAAAAGACTCTCTTTACCTTAAGGTATTACAAGCTCAGTAATACAACATATTAGTTTTATTAAAATATAACACAGCTAATTTACTGGACAAGCAAGTAAATATTAATAACCCTTCATATAATTTTACATACATTTAACATATTAATTATAAACAGAAATGTAAGGTTGTGTTCTTAACAGGTTGTTCTAAATTTCATTAAATTTTGTCTATACTTGTTTTTTTATTAATTTGTTCTCATTTAAAAATAAAATAATAATACTGGCAATTTGTTTTTGTGTATCTATACAGCATGTGTGTGTAAATGGGTGTGTACGTTTTTGTTTTTGTTTTTTGCTTTCTAAAGGAAGGCTCACAGTGTTAAACCCCTGACATACCACCTCATGCAAGTATTTCACCCAAGCTCCTGCTTCACTTTGAGCCACATTTTCCCTCCTGTCACAGGCGGAGACTGTGACAGTGAGGCAGTGACACCACTGAAGATCTGGACGATATGATCCGTCAGCTCACCTGATGCTTTTTCTTTTCTACCCTTCCAAAACAATGACGCTCCACGACAGGGGTCAGAATAATTTGCACAACAAAAACATCCTGTCGAGGTCCGACTTTTTTTTTTTTTTCTGGATTGACGTAGCGCTATGAATGTGGCTGTATAAACATCATAGAGAGCTGTGAAGTTAGCCCCCATCACAGACACTCCTGGTGATGACACAATGCTCTCTTCTGAGAGACCATGAGTCAGACTGCTGGACCACAGCAGCAGAACACTGCAAATGAACCTTATGATGGAAAAAAACAACATGCGGACTCGTATGTTTCTGCAGTGAATGACATTGTAAGAGGATACACGCTGACCTGCTCGCTCCAGACTAATTAATGAGCCCACTGTGCATCACAGGAACATGAGCGGGAAGAAAGAAGGAAGGAGGGATGCAAATGAGGAAGCTGTGTTTAATTAGACTCATACAGGGACTGGATGTCCTGCAGGATCTGTCGTTCACAAACCAATAAGTGGCCCAAGAACATGGTGTACTTTACACTGGCAAAATCCACATTCATTTAGCACAGTTTTCAAGCACACAAACCTGATGGCTCAACAGCAAATATAAATGTCACAAAAAATGTCTCACAATATATTGAGTCAGTAGGAAACCTGGGCCTGTTTAGTTAAACACAACCCTGATATACTGGCAGGTGTTGAAGAAAGATTCACACAAAGTCTAACTCTTCTTTAGGTTTTATAACCATCTGCTGCCACCCTGTGGAATCGTTCAATTGTTCTACCTGTTATTGATGCATGGATGATCACAGATGCAGTGCAGTAGTTGGAAATCATTAGGTACAGCAACGAAACACAATGCATTCATTTTTAATTTGATTATTCTTTACAAATTGGAAAGGTGTTAATGTTGAGAGTCCGATATGTTTTAGTCATCCTTCAATATGTTTTGAAGAGAAGTGTAAATAACTACTATTTCCTATATTCAATTCCCTTCAGTCATGA